GCCTAATCTTCTATACCAGTTATTTATCTCTATATCTTTATTTTCTAGATATAGTAGCTTATTTTGATATTTTATATTATGTATCTTATTAGGATATAGTATATTAGTATTGGTTTTATATAGGGTATCTTTATATCCTTTTATTGTTGGTTTTTTATTATTATATATATATACACTATTTTCTTTAAAAATAGATATACCTTTTAGTCTATTAGTACTTAGTATATTAATACCTAATTCAGGTATATATAGCACATTATGCATTATATATATATAGTTTAGATTAGTCTGTATAATAACAGTTCCTTTATATTTTATTGGTATTTTTAGTACTTTTCCCCAGTTTACTGATTTATTTACTGCTTATTTATAACAAAAATAATTTAAATTTATAATAACAGAGACAGTAGCAGCAGTATCAATAACAAAATTACAAATAGGTCTAATCTAATAGGGCAGTTTGCCTAGATAACCTTTATTATTTATAAGTATATTTTTGTTATTTTTAGTATTAGGGGTATTATTAACACTTACATCATTATCAAGATCTAATAGAAGATTATCAATCTCCATATCGATATCCTAAATAGGTATAGTGTTAAAATTATCTGAATCAGACAGAATAGTATTAACAACAGCAACTTAATCGTTATTTTGTAGGTTTTTGTTTTTATTATTTTTATTGTTTTTGTTGTTTATATTGTTTGTAGTGTTTGTATCGTTTATATTAATTAATTTCCACCAATCTGGACGCTTATTAGGGTATAGGAAATAACAATCATTAACATTATAATTAGTTTTATAACAATTTTTGCAGAATTTGCCTTTATAAGGCTGTTTTTTCTATGGTTTTTTGGTGATTTTGTTTGTATTGTTTTTATTAAAAGAAGGAATTATTAATACTATTAATAGTATTATCTTCTTTACTACGTAATTTATCAATAAGTGATTTTATCAGTAAATCAATAGTATATACCTTAGGATCATTACGCAGAGATTACGTAATATTTTATATAAATCCTGAATAATCTTCGTCTAGACTATTCAAAATCTAGGCAATAACTACCTAATTAGGCAGTATAATCTCTTTAGATTTTAGGTCACTAATAAGCAGTTTTACCTTATTAAGGTATTACTCTATAGTGTCAAAATCTCCCAGAGTAGTATTAAAAAATTCTTTTAATACTAGGAATTCAGTAGTAAAACCCTTAGGATTAAATAATTCCTTTAGGGTATTCCAGGCCTGAATAGCACTAGTTTCATCCTTTATATATAATAAAGGATTATCGTCACACAATAGCTTAATAATAGCTAGTACCTTCCTGTTTTTTACAGGAGTTATAGTGGTTTTATCAGATATTGTTCCATTTAGGTCTAGGGTATCGAACCCTAAATCCTCTTTGACCAATAGAGCGTAGGCCCTAATTAACCATATAGTATAATTTTCGATACCTGAGAGCTTAGGCACCTTAATTTTTTAAAGATTTGCCATAGTATATAATATATATATATATATATATATATAGATATATATATATATCAATAGGTTTTGTATATTTTTTTTTGAGGTTTGTTAAGATTTCGGCCGAAATACAGGGGTATCTCAGATTTAATATTTTTAGACTTCAAAAGTTCCCAAATAGGAGATAAATAAAAAAGAGGGCAAAAAGTATATATAAAAAGGTGGTATAGCCAGATATAGATAATCCGGGCTCATAACCTATAAGACTGCAAAGGTCTTACTAGGCTTAGGGAATATAGATAAAGGAGGAATTATTATAGATAGTTGATTACTGAGTAATCAATAAGATTAAGGACTTAGTTGCTTGATTATAGAGGATTCTGATTAATGTATATTATTATTTCTAAAGGAAAGAAGGCCCTATTTAACCTTAGAATAGTTATACCGGATAGCTAGTATTCCAGCTATCCGGCCGGTTATCTAGCTATCCGGCCGGTTATCTAGTATACCGAATATCCGGTCGGATACTAAGTATACCGAAGATCTGGCCGGCTACCTAGTATACCGAAGATCCGGTGTTTTTTAGGGTTACTAAGCCTTTTAACTAAATCTTAGTTATATCTTTAACTAGATCTTAGTTATATGTTTAACTAGATCCTAGTTATATCTTTAACTGGATCTTAGTTATATCTGTATAATATTCATAATAATAATATACACACATATAACAATCAGAATCCTCAATAATCAAGCAACTAAGTCCTTAATCTTATTGATTACTCAGTAATCAACTATCTATAATAATTCCTTCTCTATCTATCTTCCCCTAAGCCTAGTAAGACCTTATTAGTCTTATAGATAGGATAGCCCTTCTGTATATACAGAATTAGATAAGCTTTTTAGAAAAGATCTAAAGGCGGTAAAGAACTTAATTAACAACTAGAGAACAGAGATCTGGTATAAATACCTATACTGCTTTAAGATAATAAAGTATCTTAAGAAACAGAAGTTTAGAAAGAATTCTTTCTTTAATTAAATTAATAAAGGGATACATATTAACTTATCTAAATATAGACTACTGCTAGAAGGGTCTATAACCACTATAGCTAAGAACTTAATACTATCTAGTATTTAGTAAACTACTCTAGAAGTAGAGGTAGGCTTATCCTATAGGGGCTAGGTACCTATTAATTAGCAATAGGGTCTAGAGAGCTTAACAGAGAAGCATTCAGAGTATAGTTATCCTATCTTACTAGTTTTATTTTAGTATTTTTATTTTATTTTATTTTATAATTAACTAAGGGACAGTTAATTTTTCAGGGAGAGTAGTATATAATAGGGATTTCTGCTCTTAATATTGGTACCCTAGGGTTATATAACAGAAACCTTAGCAATAAGGCCCCTACTTTATTTCAGAAGAATAAGTAGCGTTTGTTCTAGATTATTAATTTAATATATAGGTTCTCCTGTATAAAAATATTCTACTAAGGTTACTAAGATTATAGTATCGGTATACTACTTATAGAAGGTTCAGTTATTTATTCTATTGTTTATTCTGTTAATTCTTAATAGGGTTATACCTATTATCTCCTTACCCTCTATAAGTATAGTAGTATTGTCTCTTCGTAATCAACCTGTCTGCTAACGCAGACAGCCTATAAGCATTCCTATCTTATATTATCTAGAATAAGATACTATATATATAATACTATCTTAGAGATTCTTCTGGCCTGGAGTAGTAAAGAATATATACTATTTATAGAAGGACTATAGTCTAATAAGATACAAAGTATAGTTTACTAAAACTACTCCTAATTCTATAATAAATCTAGGCTAAATTATCTATAGATTTTATTATAGAGCTACCCCTAGTAAAGAAGGATAGCTCTATAAACATACTAATTATTACTAATTAACTTATAAAGAGTATAATATTAATTAGTATAAAGAGGTTATATTATAAGATATAGCAGATATATTTCTAATATACTTCTATATATATTATAGTTTACTAAGGATAATTATTAGTAACTAGAGGTTATAGTTTATAAGTAGATTCTAATAAACAATATATATAAAGCTAGTAATTTAGTACTAATTATCTACTATCTTCTACCTATAATCTAATAGAGTAATAGAATAAGTAAATTAAGAAGTAGAAAGGATTATAAGGATCTTTACTATCTATATATAGAATAACTAGAAGAGGCTATTACTAATAATTATAGTAGCTATTAATAATTAGAATCCCTTATTAATAAGACTATTCTCTTTCTTCTTTACTTATAGATATTATATTATCCCTCTTAGTATAGATAATAATAATATAATATAAACAGATAAGGTAACTCTACTTACTACTACAGATAAATTATTTATAAAATGAATATAAGAAGCTACTGACTAGGTATGATCTATAATTATAGTTATCTAAGAGATATAATAAGAGTAAGTAAACTAATCTTAATATACTGCCCTGACTTACTATTAGGCATTGCCAGAACCTATTTCACAACCTATTTCTTAGCATGCCAAGGAATTTATAACCTATTCAAAACCTATTTTGTATAAATATTATATTTTATCTTTCTTATTAGAAAGATAAAAATAAGAAAAATAATAATTAAAAAAATTATAAGAAAAAGCTTTATCTTAAAAGATATTAAAAAGATTATATTACTTGATTTATATTTATATCTAAATATACCAAAAATAAAATAGGCTAAAAGTTCTTAATTAAGATAATACTACTAAATTTAGATTATTTATTCTAATAGTAGTCTTTGTAATAGCTAAGTTAACTATCTCTAGAAAAAAAAGGATAAATTATCATAGAATTTAAGTATATAGTACTCTAGACTTCTAAGGTTAATTTGAGATAAATTTCTTTTAAAATATCTGTATATTAAGGCCTATCTAACCCCTAGTATATTTAAGATCCTATAAATATTCAAAATTCTTAATCTCTTTAAGAATTAGTCTGTATATTAACTATCTAATCTGATCTCTACTGTCAAATATCCTTATCTAGTTATAGGTCTCTAGCCTAATAACTTAGTAACTATTATAGTCTTATACTAATTATATAACCTAAATGATGACTAGCGGCCTATCTAGATTATAAAATAGGGTAGGGCCTTTTTTGGTAAATATGGTAATAAGCTATTAGTGGTGGAACGTATATATGTATCTCAGGAGAGTATATATATATATATATCAGTTACCCCACATCAGTGCTATATAACTAATGATATAATGTAAGTCCAGGGGTCCTAGGGCATCCTATAAGATGTAGCATCCTTCCCCTCAAGTGCTTAGGTAGAAGCAATATTTGGACCCAGAACATTCTACTCTTCCATATATCCTTGGTCCCGAGGTCTAATCCCCGACCTTCTACATATTAAGTTTTTCACCCAAAGAACAGCCCTATTGAGAACGACTCTTCTACTTGATTCATCTATCATTCCAGGCCTGTCTTAACAAAAGGCAATTTATTTTCATAACCCTCGCGCCTGTGGTTTCCCCGTTGGCTTTCATTATGGCATCAATAGCAGAACGTGCTCAGGAGATTTGGCCTGATCTTCCCAAAACTCCCATTACGCTGGGCGATTCCACTCGGGAGCTTTACAACCGGGCTATCAATGAACCAACATCCCTGACTGATGAAGAACGAAGAATTATCACCCGCCGCTCGACAGGCCCTGAAGAAGACCAGCTATGTCGAGATGCCTGCGGAATGACGTTCTCGGAATTGGCCAGAAAATGTATCGACCAGAAAGACAATGTTCAATACCAGGAAGCGGAAATACTCTTGACAGGACCCGCTCCTTTGCAGACTGCACATGGACTAAACTTCTCAGCACGCCTAGGTGAGGTCGACCGCGAACTATGGAGAAATGCATATAACGCTGCTTGGAGTGAAGATATGAAAACTGCCCGAGCATTGGCTCGGAAATTACGAAACCAGTCAAAGCCGATTACTCTGCAGCAAGAAAATCCTACAATTCTGACGATTGGAGGAACATTGCATACGCGATGAAAATGCCATGGCAAGAATACGTGATCAGTGACCCCGCAAATACAGTATTTGGATTTGTTTTCTTTGTCCCGAATGCCATCGGAAGCGAATGGCCACTATTCAAAGAGCAGATCGAAACCGCTACTCGCCATGGCTTGAACTGTTATCTCCCACCAACTAGAAAAGAAGATCTCCCCAAATTCACCCTTCATTGGATAGAGGACGATGCCGCAGATACGGAGAGCACTTTCGTCTCTAAAAGAGGGAACGGATAACTTCCAAAAGGTCTGCGCACGGACTGCTTTCTATATGTTGACGAAGAGTCACTGCGGTCGCATAGCCTGGAAAGACCATTCATTTGGCAAGGGGAACCAGAAAACGCTATTAGTAAAGAGTTAAGACCTCTTAAGGTAGATATCAAGCACATTGTGCCGTTGCTTTTCGCCCGCCTCGCACAAAGAGATCTGCCGGAAGAGCAGAGACGCAAACCCTACCGAAAACCATCTGATTTTGCAACGCTTCATCAGATCGCTCAGTACAAGGATCCTACAAACCAAAGGATAGATGGAATCTGGCCTGCACCCGCTAGAATTATGTGATTATTCAAAACGATTGTACATTTGTCTCCAATGACAAGGTTCAAGTCATTCGTCAGATAACATTATTTCCCAATGCAAACGTAGTAGTTCGGCCACAATCCACTGCAGTCGTTGCCCACAGCAGGGTTATAAGCGTAAAACTGATCCAGTGTTATGCCATTGCTAGTCGCTATATCATAGCACCCATCACCCGACTTGACTAGGTAAAAGTCCTTACATACAGAGGTGATAGAGAGATAGGAGTGAAACAGAAACAAAGAATAAAGAGGATGATGGTCTTTATGCCAGGTGATCGAAGAGGAGATTATATAACAGTAAATTAGGGTGCTAAACCCAAAGGGTTATAGTAATTCATTGGTCCGTCGTTTACATGAATAACATTGAGGGAATACCTCAAGGTTAAACAAGTAGGCATTGGCAATACAAGAGCAAGTTAACATAACTGACAAGCTTTAGAGGGAGTCTAGCACGAAAGATACACATTGCAAAAAACATTCACACGTGCGAGCCAGCATGGAGATCAATGTGCAGACGTTTGGCCAGTCCCAGACTCCATCTCTCCGAATCGGACAGTACAATATTGGTTCTCAACAGAGTAAACACGCAATAAAACTGCAAATTTGCCGCCCTTCAGAAGCGAATTTACCTCGCTTGGATGATTGAGATGGAATATCATTATGACAATCAACATAAGCCCGGCGTCGAAAAAATAGAGATAGAACTCATTAGTCATAAGCTCCTCAGTTGGGCCCTGGATATATTCTATAACGTGATAGATGCAACGAATTAAGACAATGCCACCTGCAGACAACACGGTGTATACGTGCTTCTTCCATGGCATGCTGGTAGACTGGGCTGTGGGACACTTGCGTAGGCGGACTGAGAAGGCAACCACACTGACAAGGAAAAAGCCAAAGAATAATATCTGCAAACCGAGGCCTATCTCGACAATGGCTTTACCAAGATTGGCACTACTTGCGCTTTGCTTTGCAAGAATAGATCCGCCTAATTATGGTGCAATTAGCTATGTAGCTGTCACAAAGGATCGAGGGTTTCAATACCAACGGCTTGGAATATGAATGAGAGCACATCTCCTCCGACAAAAATCTTTGTGAGATGCTTTTTCTTAATGATTGAATGCGCCTCTCCATCGACGAGTAATATAATGCGCGCAAGCTCCATATAGATCGAGGCGGCGAACAAGGCAGGTGCAAGAAGTATACCCATTGACTGAACAACAAAAACGGGGAATGACCAATCCGGTGTTTGACGAGAGTTAATTGTTCGGGCTGCGAATCCAAAAATTTCGACTAAAATAAATGTAAGCCAACTCTGTTCGTAGAGCTCTCGGGTTTTGAAAGGGGCAGTATCCAGTAAACTGGCAGTGTCAGATCGGATGGATTAACTCACATACACCCCCAATGATAAAGGGTATAAAGTATCGTGTCTTGGTTCGAACTGATTGATAGACATGAAAAAGAGTGGTGACAACAAACAGGAGTGTAAAAATGGCCGCGGCCGGGACGGATGGGTCATAGTGATAATACTGTTTTTGTGCCATACTGACACTGGGAAGAGAAAAGAGCTTGTAAAGGATATGGAGAAAATGTGTTGAAGAAATAATACTCTCAAAACATCTCTGGAGCCGGTATTTATAAGATAAGATGATGGATTATTCACTATATGCCCCTTTGGACACTCAGCGTATTCAGTATGTTCGCGTACTCATGCTTCAGCATCCTCGTTCACTAGACCCTTCCTGGAGTAGTGCGCGTACACCTTTCCTTTCTAGGAATAGAATGTTCCACTTCTTCCGTAGTTGTGGCAGATCGACCTTTCAGGGGAGCCCACCCATACCGCCTACGCGATATGGGTGGGCCACGGCCATGTGTAAATAACGGCCATGTGTAAACTTTTTCACAAATCTACTATTTTACGATATTTACCCTCTACCACGATGCCTAAATCCTCTAAAACTGATGAATCTCGCGTTTCCGAGGCCTGCAAAGCGGCCAATGCCCTCAAAAAGCCGAATATATCGCGCATTGCACGCGATTTCGGCGTTCCCTATCAAACCCTCTATCGACGCATCCGTAAGGGTAGAACGTTGATTTCAGGTCGAAAACCTACCAATATAGCCCTGACAGATAAACAGGAACAGGCCTTAGTAGGCTGGGTTCTGTTTATAGAGAGCGTAAATATACCTATTGCGCCTGCTATCTTGTAAGATGCAGCAAATACTATCTTTTTGCGTGCACAAAAGGATACAAAACCACTAAGCAAAATATAGGTATATCGCTTTATAAAACGTCATAAGAACCTTAAACCTATATCCCAAAAGCTAAAGGATGATAAGCATATCTCTGCTGAAGATGCTGGAGCTCTTGAGCAGTGGTATAACAGCCTAGCAAGGGTTACTAGGAACGTTCCTCCGCGCTTAGTATATAACTTTGATGAAATTAGCTTTCAACCTAGGAGGGGAAAGGCACAAACCATCATTAGTAGTACAGAGCGGCGTTCTAATATTGCTGAGACAGAGCATTCTGAGACTATAACAGCACTTAAATGTATTGCCGCTGATGGCTGGTCAATGGCTCCATTTTACATCTTTAAGGGCTAGGTTCCTTAGGAAGATTAGTATTATAGCAGTAAGGGTCTTCCAGAGGATACTATTACTGCTGTATCAACAAATAGCTAGATTAATGATAATCTAGCCCTTCAATGGCTTTATTACTTCTATAAAGTAACTGCGAATCGCTATAAAAAAGGCAAAAAGCAGATACTTCTATTTGATAGCTATAGATCTCATAAGACACATAAATTCATACAAACTACCCTTGATTATAACATTATACCCTTCTGCTTTTATGCTCATTCAACATATATTTGTCAACCGCTAGATAGAAAGCCATTTTTAGCACTGAAGCAGTATTTTAAGAAACAAAATAACTTGTATACCTTCTGGTCTGGTAAGGTTGCAAAGAAATCTGAATTTTTGCGTATCATCTCTAAGGTTCGGGCTACTGCATAGAAAAGCCCTCGCATTATTCATGATTCATTTAAAGATTATGGAATATTACCTACAAATAGTAATACAATAGTTAAGGACCTTGCGAACTAATTACCTAAGGTAGATAATCTAAATATAAGCAATTACGCTCTATATGGTGATACAACACCGCCACCTGGTATCGCTTCGTCTTCATCTGTACACAGTTCACCTCCTCCAACAATCAAAAGACAACAATTAAATCATGCAAAATACATAATACCTACTGCTACACCAAAGCAGCAACGCAATTTAGACCGGGTGTTACAACATACTCAGATTATGGCTGAGAGTGCTGATACCCTACGCGATACAATTACAAAGATAACAGCCGCACGCACGCCATTACAACGCAAATATAGCAAGCGACAGGTTAAACCTCTATCTCAAACTAGTATACTATCCATAAAGGACGCCAATCGCAGTATTGCTGAAAAGAAGGCCAAAAGAGAGAAGACCGCTGCTACAAAGCTCCGCAATCAATATAAGAAGAAATGGGGCCATTCGCCGCCACCGGAGCCTACATTGCCAGATTTATCTTCAAATGACGTGGAATTGGCAAATATACCGGATAGCGAGCTTTTTTGTATAGTTTCAAAGCCATTGCGTTGATAGATAGTGTGAATAGTTGCAAAATTTACACATGGCCGTTATTTACACATGGCCGTGGCCCACCCATATCGCGTAGGCGGTATGGGTGGGCTCCCCTGAAAGGTCGATCCGCCACAACTACTCTTGGCAGTCTGGCTAGTAATAGACTCCACTGGATTGTAGTCTAAGCCACACCGCCAAGACAATCCCTTCAATAATAGAAGGAGGCAGACACTCAATCTTAAATTTTCTGATCCCCAGACCAGTGAGAGGAGCAAAGTAAACTGCTAGTGCAATGGTCTATCTCGAAAAATTTTAATTCCTAATCATATCATATCCACTCGTTGAGAGCTAAAATGTCGAGCGGTGGGCGAAGAGCACATAAGAAGTCCCGCCATGGATGTGGCCAATGCAAGAAGAGAAGAATAAAGGTATGGGTGCTAGCAATGTGTTTTCTGTGCCTGGCATGCATAGACTCCGATTGACGATCCAGTAATGATTGACAGGAGTGCTACTGGTTATATTTTAGTGCGACGAGCGACCACCCCGTTGCAGCAATTGCAACAAGCGGCGAGTTGAATGTGATTATGAGCTACTAGGATACCCACTGGCCGTACCTGCAGCAAGCAAACTGTTCGTTACCTAATTGGCTAAATAAGACAACATCTCTGGCTAATGAACTGAGCACAGGCAGCGGGATAAACAAGTATCGTTGGATGGAAACTGCAGCAAGGATAATGGATCCTTAATCGTCTCGCCGTCTCTGTCGGATATGACTCTCAATCTCCGACACCTGGAACTGATGCATCACTATGTCACAAAGACCTCACTCACTCTCATCAATGTCGATGAAGATGGGGGTATGTGGCAGGAGGGCGTTCCCAACATGGCCATCTCTAACGACTTTCTGATGCATTCTATTCTGGCTTTATCTGCGCTTCACATCGTCCATCTCCGTGGCTTGGATGAATACGGTTGAAAGTATCTAGCTACCGCTCGATCTCATCATGCTCAAGCTTTTAGCTGCTTACACTCTGGAATAACAGAAATCACTCGGTCCAACTGTACGGCGGCTGTTGCATTTTCTGCCCTGCTTTTGATATTTTCTTGTGGTCTGGCACAGATTTCTCACGCGTTGCATCACTGTGATAATATTGATAGCCTCTTGACTGTCTTGGTTGCCTTTCGCAGTCACTCCAGGCTTTTTAATCCAGTGCAGCAGTGGATTGGCGGGAAACTCACAGGCGACTTCAATGCGCGTGGGGGTGATGTTCGCGTGGATCTCTACGAGGAATCCATTATAGAACCATTCCGCATGCTTGATCTGACCAACAAAGCCTCCGCTGACAACGAAGAAGATAAGGCCATATATCATCAAGCCATCCTGAGCCTCCAGGAATCTGCCCAGAGTGTGTCTGTATACCCCAGACTCCTGTGGCCTATTACGGTCTCCCCAGAGTTCATCGCTCTACTGCAAAAGAAACTGCAAAAGAAACGTCCAATGGCCTTGGTCATCTTGGCTTACGGGTGCGTGCTTGCCAAGTACGCACCCCTACCGCTGGTTTATGCACAACTGGGCTGCAAACGTTACGAATTCTATCGCGAAGCTGATCGATCCGGAGTGGATGTCAGCGCTAAGATGGCCGCTCGATGAGGTTGGCCTCATCTAAAAGAATGGCACCCCTGGCGACGAGTCCACTTTATCGAGAAAAATAACTAGTCACTAAAATCCAAGGAATCATACTTATTCCTTGACTTCCATAAGATGTAGCTAAGTACTAATTTTATTGTATTGACCTAGCCCCTTTATTATAATACTATCTTGCGAAAGAGTTTCGACTGGTTAAATGCTTATGGGAATTACACCTGCTGTCCACTATACTGCCCTGCGGGTGATTACCCTGGAGTATTGTGATAGTTGTGCCTATAATTTTAGGACGGGGCAGCAACACTTAATCAATGTTCATCCCTTTCTCGGGGGAATACATATGCCCTCAAGTGTTGAGAATCCCATACAACTCTCTCTTGTATCATAACTATTGCCATGGTTTCCTCCTATTTCTCCTCGGCTTTATTACATGTTCAATACTACACGATACTCGTTTGTCCCAAGCTCTCATATTAAATCTTCTTTCTATGTACTGTAGCTTGTCGGGAAACCTTTTAAAATAATATTGCACCATGCAAAATAAATTTGCTGAAAACACTTTTTATGACAGACGGAAATGCAAAATAATAATCCAAAACCTCGAACACAACGATGCACGCATAACATTGACACGCAAATCATCAGGGCTCTGCTATGCGCATGCCAAAGCCTCCTTATAAGTCTGCCCATCAATGTTCGTAAGAGCAGAGTAGTATCGGCCCCATTCTCACGTAAAACCCTAATTGCGTTAACCTCACATATGCAAAGGCGTCTCCCGAAGGCACAGATTTTAGGCGTTTATTGGCACGCCCTTGTCTAGCTGAATGAAAATGCCATCTACCCACCCTCTAGCGATAGCTAGATACAGACACGAGATAACATCCACCATCAAGGTGTTGGGATCAGCTCCACTTGCTGGAAGTATTTCCAGCTTGTTTGCTCCTATGAGCCATGTGGTAAATGTATTGGATATGCCTCTGGGTAACAACAGTCCAATACGGGAACATCCAGTAATGCTCCGTGGTCAAGTAGCACATACAGCAAGTCGATATATGTGCCATCCAAACATTTGTGTGTGAGTGTCCAATTTTGAGATAAAGTCAGCGACGGGGAGTCAAGATCTATCTTCAATGCAAAACTCACCGAATAGAGATTTCTCCCATTCACATCTGCGCCTGCTTCGAGCAATATCTTGGCCAATTTATGATTGTTTTTCTCTCAAGATTCCTGTAGAATGGTTTGGCCAGCACTATTCCGGGCATTGGGATTGGCGTGATACTGCCGTAGAGGCTTAACAATTTCGATATGGTCTCCGAAACAGCCCTGTGCATCGGAAAACGACCCATCCTTACCATCGGATGCCCCCAAGGCCCTCGCCCTGGAATTTGCTTAAACTGTATTGATAAATATTGACATTGGCCCCATGGCTGAGTAGAAATTTCGTCATCTGGAGATTGCCGAGCTCAGCCGTGATCGAGAGAGCAGTGCGCCCAGTCTGAGGATCTTGGATATTGACATCGACACTACCCAAAATAATCTCGACTGAAGCTTAATCATCATTACTCATTGACCCTAAAAGAAATCTGGCATATAGGGGATCCTTCACTTTTGCACGCCGCGGGGGCAAAGGCATTGTGCTTAGTTCAGGATGTGTGTTACGGGATAGCCTGGATATTGAAGAAATGCTGATCCGACATTTTCATCGAACCTTGAGGTCTGGTTTACTCAATTGATAAGCCGGTCCTTGCTTATGAAAGAGTGTATTTTGAATGTCAGAAGTCTTTATACTGTTAAAAAGCTGTCCTGAATTTTGAGGGAGAGGTCAACTCATACAACATCAGGGCTGCCATAGCATCCGAGAAGATCCCTTTAGTTGTTTGGAAGTGCGCCAACAAGGTATAAACCTCCTTTTTCATAAAATCCCACTTCGCAAGTCTCAGCTGGAAGTGCCTTGGAGGCTCTGGCTATCCGCAGCTTCTCCGAGCACTGGCAAAGAAACTCCAGAGTCTTGCAACTTCTTCTGGATTTTCTCACGAACTTATTTGCGACTCGTCATGGGAAGCAAGAATGTTTCTAAAAGCTCATCAATACCAGTGTATCGTTCCATAAGAAAGTGGACATCTGCTGATTTCAAAGGAGCTTGAAGTTCTATCACAAGCGACTGAAACATGCTGATATCACAGTCAAGAATCATAATCTCTCGGTGGTGCATCCCTCATCGCTGTGAAATGGCCATGAAGTACCAACTAAACCTCCAAGGAAGCTTCTGCGATTGCAATAACGGCGGAAACCGTCCCCAGAACTCCAGCCACGCCAGACATTATGCGTAGTCCTCGGCTTCGGGATGTTGATGGTATTAGTAGGATATATCCGCTTTCGCACCTTTGGATAGTTAGCTAGATCAAATGAGATCTAGCGAGTGGGCGCGAAGATGACACAGCTGGGCTCAGTCAAAATACGTAGCTGAGGGGATGGATCGTCATGGGAAATCTTCAGCCTCAGGGTCCCGGGCCCAAGTCTGACGAGTCATGTGAGCGCGCTAATGTACAAAAGTGGCCGACTAGCATGAGCAGCAATGATCCTGGGAAATGTATATATCGGGTTCAATTTCGGAGAATTAGGACAGTATATACTGCGTACAGATGTTAAAGTCTATGTCATAGTTCTTGCTCCCTCTTCTTCCTTCTCTAAGCCTATTACTTTCGTTGTATGCAGCTACACATTGCCTGCTTTGTATTCTTTGTATCTTGATCTTCGTCGTACCCGAGCTCCTCACAGTCTACCTACTCGCTATTTATCAATTTTCAACCAGTAACATTATGCTAGAATATATTTAAATGTATTTTTGCCCCAGGATTGAATTCGCAAGAGCTAGGGGAAGAGGCTAGGCCAATTATCCTTGAACCTGAGGCAGTGACTCTGGACCAGTCTTCGCAATTAAATCCGCGATGGTGTAGTTGGATGTCACGTTTGGCTGTAATATAAACATATAACCGAAAGGTCACCATCGATTCCAATTGTGGGACATGCATTTCAAATCCTCAGCTGACGATGTTTTTTGCTTCTTATTTTGATGCCTTAGGCACCAACCTCTCGAGAGTGCCTGAATCAATATACTATGTACCCATGTGTCTTTGCGTTAACTAGCCCAGTGCCTCAGCCCGGTCATCCTTACTATACGGTGTCTCTATGGCCTGGCCCTTGCAGTCCCAGTATGAGAGGGCTAATCGCGGCTATCCACGGCTCCGCTCCGCCGTGCGTCAGCGTATGAGGCAATCAAGACGAATTCTAGTTTATTTTTCCAATTCCAGGTGGCCAAGTTTCACATTTTGCCTGTGAGGATTTTGTGTGGGTGGGGATTAATTGAAATGCATTGAGTATTCCTTGGAAGGTTCAGCAATTGTGATGGTATGTATAAATGTGGAGTGCCTGGCGTTTCGAGCGGGTTGATGTCATCGGGCCCACTGATCAAGTCATTTCTGTAGTACAGCGCGTACTCGTATGTACGTACTACATATATACCGGAAAATTTCTGGCAATGCTTGGTGTTCTGTTTCCATTCTAGTGCTCACCCCCTCGCCGCTTTTACTCTCTGTGTAGAATTAAGTACGCCCCCAACCGGCCTGAGCTGATCAGTGATCATTATATAATCAAACTGGCCACTCACTAAGTCTGATTGAAGTACCCTGATTTGCTCAGTGAGTCTGCCCTAAGCACTATAATCTGATTACTAACCCTAACGTACTTAGTTAATCATAGGTTGCTTACTAAGTTTTCTAACTCAGATAGCCGGAGTAAGTAGGCTTACCAAAACATAATATACTTAGGCTTCAAATTCATCTCAATCTATCAAACACCTAAAGTCATCGTATTTAACTATAATATATTTCTTTAAGCTTCGTGACCGCAGTGCTGGGCAACTATAGTAAGGCTTAAAAGACATGCCAAGCGACGACCGGACAGCATTTTCTAGATAATTATTAAACTAGTATGCTTAGCATTATATAAGATTAAAATCTTAGCGGATCTCTTCATTCGTATATATTCCTCATAAATCAGCGTTAATTTAATCCTAAGATAACTAATAGTTTTATATTTTCTAGAAGATATTCAAAGCTATTAACTTATTACGGCCCTATAAATCTGTCTAACATCAATATTTCTCATAATTTATTCTCAGTGTCGCATATAAATTAAGTTATTTAAACTGCAGATAATCAAGGCACCACGAAGCCATCGCCTGACAAGCTACAGACTGACTTCCAAGACAGCTAACAGGCAGGCCTAGGTCTTTAAGAAATTTCAGAGATACCCATAGATTTAGTAGACCCATAAATTAGCTTGATCAAGGGTACAAGCTTCAATAAGCTCCCCACAACTTTAAGGTCCAAGTTAACTTTTAAACTAAAATCAGAGAATAATTTCTGCTATAGCATACTTTAAGTGCATACTTTACAGGCGAAAGACCTTCTTTTACTTCAGATAAAATAGTATATATTGGATAGCATGATTCCAAAATGCTTTCTGTCTCTTAATTCCGGATTGAATTGATGTTCTCCTCCTTCCTCAAGAATGTGATCGGGAAAGGAGAGTAAGCGTATAACAAGGAAGAAAGAATGGTTAATACATAGAGCAAATTCGTACTGAGCGACCGTCGCCCGTCTTTGTGGCTTCGTATGAAGGTGGTCATCCTGCTGGGCAACACTCACCCGGCCGAGACTGGCCGAATATGAAATAACGTCCCATATGGCTGAGAAGAGCTGGATTTTGGGCTTTTATTTTATCCATAAAACGCCGCACAGAGGAACCCCCGTAATATATGACGAAAAGAATTGCTCTGAATAATACTTCGAAATCAAACTTCCTTCAAACTTGAAGACATCGATACACATACCCCCATGGTGATTTCCGTTTATTGCTAATAAAAAGACCATCAGTCTTTGTGCTTTCGGTGGGCTCAATAAAAAAAAGAGAGACACCTGGGCCACCACACTCGGACCTTTTTGTATGGCCTCGCCGGGTTTTCTTGTCTTCCCCTTATTTTTCTCCAAGCATCACCAAACGCCTTCGTTTTGCCTCTTCCAGAAGATACAGCTGCAGTTGATACTCCTCATCACCTCCGCCGGCAGTTCCACGCTTGAGATGCGAGAAATCCTTCATATTTTGGTTCCCGAGCGTGTCAAGTCTTTGAATTTCAGTTTCACTATATCCCACCTGGCGGAGCTTTGCGCAGTTATATCACTGTTGACTTTCAAGAAGGGTGAGCATATTGTAGATGGCAACGTCATCCCAGCCCAACGCGTAGAGCTTGTCTTGCATAGTCTTCTGAGAAGCACTCAGGTTGGAAAGGTATTTGGCGATAACTTCTGCGGGTGTTACTTTCGCTTCTGTGCTAGCATCAGCTTCGGTAGCATTTTCGAGCTCTTCTTCAAACACGAATTTGAGGCTCTTCCCAGTATCGTCAAGTATCCAGATTCCCTCGGGGGTGGAACTGATTCGGTTTGTTCAGTAGTCATGATGGAAAATTGTATTGCGAGGGGACGGGAGTGGATAGTGAAAGGTGAGAGATAGTGATAGGTTAAAGAGGGTGATGAGGCGAGAACTTGCATGCAGGATGGGATGACTCAGCACACACTCCCAAGATTGTACAATGGAACTGTTGAGATCAACCCCTGGGCTTTGTTATAACTTATAAGTTTTGGTCTAAGAGAGAATCCCTGTTTGTGCTCTGTTGCACAGGAGAGACTCGAAACTCAACTCTCTATATGTCAGAATGTGCACATTTAAGGTTTGCGGCTCCAAAGGTTTGCGGCCCCACAAATTTTGGAGGCCTTTTCCATGGGTAGCAGTTACAGTAATAGTACTATTTTAGCTTTGTTGCTATTCTTTTACTGCTGTGGGTGATACAATGCCCTACCTACACTCTTAAATTGTGGACAATAGGTACCCTCACGCGCTGCGGGTATGTCGCAATCGACTTATGAATAGTTTCTTTTAGTTACTTCATAAATACTAGTAGTAACCATATCTTATCTATGACTTATATTATCAAAATATTGATAGCTGCTGGTAATAAATCCAAGTGGATTTCAAGTTGAATTTCTGTGTAGTTGAATAGCCACAAAGAGCAGCATATGACTCCGACCTAGCTACAGACACCATTTCGATCCCTATCAGAAGAGTTACAGTAATTTCCAGTTCGAGTACACTATAATTTGTTTGCTAAGCTATTTTTCAATCACAGGGTTAGCTTACTCACTCAATGGTTATGTGCACATTTTCCCCAATGCATCTGTCCGCCGATACAAAAATTACATCTTTGGGTATGTCCCTCCGAACAGTAATACTTAAGATGATTATCACTTTGCTTTTCAACCTCCAGGCTAGGAAATATCAGAAAGAGCAGGTAGAATTACGCCTTCATAAACAGTTCCTACTCCATTTGGCTGATCTGCGGTTTGCCTGTCCTGCAAATCATAAATGGAGTGTTTCTCAACGGACAACTCCTGGGATAGAGCGGCCTCAAGAGCACGGCGACATCGTAGAACATCTAATGCAATTATCAGAAATCTCTTGTTCTCTCATCTATTACAAAAATTCCAGCTGGAAGAATTACCAGGCTCTGCCTGAGGAAGGCCGGTGACGAATAGAGCACAAATTGAAAGAACATTTACTGTAGCTTGTGGAATCCGCATTTTGCTAAGTAATATTCAAACAACTTTAGATCTGAAATTTCCACTGGAGTTACCTAGGTGACTTGATAAGTCAAAAATGAGCTATTCAGAATCCTCTCTGCTGAACAATGGAATCGGGCCATCTTTTATAGACTAATCTCGGAAGCCACTTCACCTTGTCCGTCAGGGACCCAATATTCTTCTATTGCCTCGCTAGTTTATCGTTTGAAATGTGTTACAATGATCGGGATGCCGAGGTGTTTGTGATTTGTCACTGTGTAATGTCTGCCGTGACACATTTCTAGATGCTGCAGTAAGACTTGGAGGGGCGCAACCTTCAGATGTTTTGTAGTCTTGGTATCCGTTCTCTGGGTCGGCTGTAAAGCTAGGCAGAAGTCAGCCTTTCTTTCAATTAAGTTTCGGTAGTTTCAACCTACTCAAGCCAAAGATCAAGAGCTTCTTTGTGCAATTCTTTAGCTCCTAGAGGCTTCTTGTCCTTGTTTCGAACTTCGTCTTGTTCTTTGAAAACTCCGGGGGAAGATAACCATTCTTCTGCTGTTGGAGACGACGCCTTTCTTTGGCTATATTATCATGTCTAGCGGGAAAGGCCTGTCGGCCTATATTCAGATATCTGACTGGCTTGGGTTCTAACTGTTGAATTTTTTGTAGTGATTAGTTTTTGGTATAGATAATCTGGGGTGAAATGTAGAGTTCATAGGATGATGAAGAGGAAGCAAAGCTAACCTTTATATTCAACAGATTCCAAACCTGACGTCAGGCATAATAGATAAATTACTGGCTTTAGCCACGTTATCTATAAGAATAAAAAGATAAAGCAAACAAAAGAAATTCGTACAGCCCTATTTCTGGTACAGTGGGCAAAGAAGTTGTTTTTTTAAAACGGGGATATTTAGCTTACAGACATTAGTACACTAGTTATCACAGAATAGATAGCCTATTAGGCCATACTAATTTTAAAATAGCTAGAGCTATACTAGGGAACAAACGCTAATTAGATATAGATTATCAAGGGGTATATAGTCTCGAATGATCACTGAGCGATCAGTGTGCCTTAGTCATGTCTCACATGACTCGGTTGATTCGATCACTGAGCCTGAGCCCGAGCCCGTGCTGACATCTGCTCACTGAGCCTGAGCCTGAGCGCCCTCGTAAAAGCGGCGGCAGCCGAGAAAGGAAAGCCCCACTTGGCAGACAAAATCCAGTGTACTCATATATAGACACACATACCGTGCACATACTCGTACACAGTATTGAGACACATGAGTGATTTGATTCGTAAGTGGGTCTGGAGCAGAGTGGTCCAGAGTTGTTTCACATGAACTGATACGGTCGGAGAAAGTGTGCAGGAGCGGTCTCCTACTCTGGACTCTGATACAGGAATTGGCCTTGTCAGGATGATCAAGCCAGGGGTCATCTGAAAGGTGCAACGGATGCGATAGGATGATTTGGAGTGAGACGAGTGAGATTGGGCCCCAATGGCGCAGTTAGCCTCGGGAGCCGTGCACATCAGCTTGGCGGTTAGATAAGGAGTAACTAACTATACCACGTATACCACGTAGTATACCGCTACGTCATACTTAGTTACTATAGTAGTATAGAATAACTAGATACTGTTATACTACATAGCATACCTATACCAGTATCATCTCTCTCTCTCTCTCTCTCATCTAGATCTGCTCTACTCTGTAACATCCCATCAATTGATCATGCTCTCATGATCTATGATCTCAGACCACGATCGCCCCGATCACGCTACCCTCCCTGGAATACTTGGCCATTATTGGTGGGACTCCGCCTCTCGGGATCGCCTGGATAGACCGAAAGAGGCTTAGTGGAACACCCGGGCATCCACTCACGAACGAATGAGCGACGTGCCCGCATGAATGTTGTCATGTGGTTGTACTGTGTAGAAGGGTGAGTCTTATAACTTGATACAATATTACTGGTACCATGACTCTGACACGATTGACTCATCCTTAAATAGGCGCCAGTCTGTCAGCCCATTCTAGATTCCCCTCCCTTTTCCCTTTCCTCTCTTCTTCGTTCTCTCTCTCGGCTTTGACTCACTAACCCCGTCGCCACTGCCTGACAAATCCCCTGCCGCCCTCTTCCACTCTTCCACTCTTCCACTCTACTGCGCTGCCTATTCCATTGACTTCCTTTCATCTTTTAACCCCATCAATTCCCTTTTTCCCTCCCCTTCCCCCTCTCTCCCTCTTCCATCATCCCCCCCAATTCTTGCAACTCTTGCAATTCCTGCAATTATTGCACTTCTCCCATGTCCCAGATCCCAATTCTACCCAATTACCCAATTACCCAATTATTCCCCACATACACCCCCACCACCATCCTGGAAATGACCTTTGGGTCGCAATATCCAGGCAAACACCCAACAATGATGCATCGTCTACCAGTATCGAGCCTAATGTCTCCCCCCGAGTCAAAGCCAATGGAGACATTTCACTCTTCTTCCCCATCGCTCGATATTAAATTACCTCCCATCTCAGCTGATCGCAAGCGCACACAGTCCGAGATGGATCTCCCTTCGCCACCCGTCACGCCTTATACTGCCACCAAGAAGCGTGCCCGATCGCATACCGCCGATCAAATCGATCGTGATGTTGCTTCTGCTCGCGATCCTCTTCTCTTCCCTCCTCGTCATGACTCGGTCACAGGCGTGGAAGAGCAGGATCAGGAACAGGAACAGCCCCTCTTCGGTCCCATTGCACCCCCTGCAGCGGCTGCCTTGGTGGATCAACATATCATCTCGCATATGGCCAGGTTTGAGAACAAGAGGAATAAACCCACCAGAGAAGAATATCTCCTCGCTCTATCATGTGTCCCGGTCGTCTCAACTCACTACAATCGTAACCCGGCCGCCTGGGCCCGCGAGGAACGAGAGACGCTGGAACGCCAGTTGGTCTTGATGAATCGCACTCGCCCAGCCGACCTGGATGCCCGATTGAAGAAGATTGCCCCCGCTCCCGCGAAGAATCACAGATCGGATAAGCATCATCAAGTCGGGGGTGGTCTCACCCCAGCTCAACGGGCGCCCCGAACTCGAGTGCGCCGTACTCCCAAATCTACCCCCAAGCAGCAAGCCCTGGATTCATTTGACTTCCATTCTTCCCCTCTGCCAGCCAATGCCAAGCCACGTGCATCCATCGGTACCAACCGGGATGACACGGATTTCAATGCCCTGCAGGACTTCTCGCCTCCCATGGAGATCCTGGCGGGCAATACGAAAGCGCTCAAGGCTGACTGGAAGGGGCAAATGCTGGATTTGAGCAATGACCCGGACCGACATCTGCTCAGTCCCGCCGAGCTCAATCTAGCCTCCACCCTGAGATTGTCTTGTGCCACATACCTGTGTAGCAAGCGTCGCATCTTCGAGGCTCGTGTCCGCGCCTTGAGAGTAGGCAAGGAGTTTCGCAAAACAGATGCCCAGCAGGCCTGCAAAATTGACGTCAATAAAGCCAGCAAGTTATGGACCGCCTATGATCGGGTTGGTTGGTTCCGACCGGATCTTTTCCGTGAATATTTGAGATAGAGAACATCTCCATTCACATCGCCGAGGGATTTTGCAAATGACTGGCCTAGAGTGCCATCCTACCATCCCTCTCCCCCTCTCACCTCCCCCGTCGCTTGATGTATCGCGACACTTCCACCTTCCCACTCCCCTCCCCTTTCTCCGTCTCCGGATTCACCGCAAGAGATTTGGCATCTCGCCGACCAAAGAGTCCAACCCGGACCAGACCAGACAGACCATGGATGTTTCCAGATCCAGTAAACTGACCGTCCTTGCCTCTCGGACCGAACGATTATTAATTGTCATTGACTCCAGCCCTGATCTACTATTTACTTCTCCTCCCTCTGTGGAGTACTATCTTCCCATCCTCAACTATGGGAAGACAGGTTTATTCGCCTCGGATCACTTTGGGGTTTCGTCGCTCGATTCTCATTCTTTTTTCTCTCTCCTCCCCTCTCAACCTTTTTATCTTTTTATTCCTTTTTTTCGGCTACCATTTTGCCAATGATGCATTACGACACATTCCTTTTTTTTTGCTCATTCCCCCACTCGCCCCATGCTTGCTCGCATGCGTTGCGTTACGTTGCTCTGCTCTTGCCTTGCCTTGCTGCATGAATCTCCCCTTGGATATTGGATATTGGCTCAGGCGTTCTTGGATTTGTTGTGCCCACGCACATGTTTTGTTTTATCTTTGTATCCCCCATCTAGAATGGCCGGCTTGGGACAACCTGCGGTGTTTACGTGACTTTTTCTTACATTGATTGGTTCTTGCACGCCCTTTTGAAAGGGATTTTCTTTGGCACCAGTACTCGGGATGATATGATACCCTGACCAGATACGATTCGTTTGTTTGCAATGACATTATACATACATTAAGCAACCGCTCCAGTAGTTCAACAGTACAGTAATCCGACTAGTCAATATCACAACAACCACTTGTCATAACTACTAGTAGTTAATTCTACTCTATTCTAATTCCAATGAGGCTGTGTTCTAAAAATAAGCCTACGTCATCTAGTAGTACACTCTGTCTGTTGTAGGCTGTGGGGGCAACCCGATGTTTTGATTGGTCAAGCAACGTATCTCTCGTCCGCCCCGGCCGCCTTTTTCCTTGTCCTTTCGTACGTTCCGTTCCGCCTTCAAGTTCCCCATCGCCATCGCCAACGCCAACGCCATCGACATCGCATCGCATCGCTCCCACGCGTAACACCGTCGCCATGTCGCAGGAAGATGTGACTCGGCCCGAGTCGGTCGATGAAAATGAGCGCACCCGCGCTGCCGAAGCAGACAAGAAGCCCAAGTCCCGCAGACCAGCCAGTGCGCATCCACCCTGTCCCCCCATCCGCCTCCCTCCGCACCGTCGAGTGTTTTTTTGGAGCGAAATGATTCTCTCATGACTATTGTTGGATAAGACTGACAGACGCGTTAGATACTGCTTTCCGACAGCAGCGATTGAAGGCCTGGCAGTAAGCCCGTCACTTCCGGCTTATCCTGGATATCCTTCTTGGAAGAACCCCTGGATGTACTGACCCTCGATCTAGGCCGATCCTGACACCCAAAAGTGTTTTACCGTTATTCTTCATTGTCGGCGTTCTCTTCGCGCCCATCGGTGGTGTTCTGATCTGGGCCAGTTCCCAGGTATGCTATCCTATCCGACCCTCCCTCCCCAAAGCCCCATTTCGCCGCGCGCGCGTCACTCAACATCGTTCCCCGCCTCCTCCCGTTTCACCGCGCGTGTCGCTGACGTTTTATACCAAATCGTAGGTCCAAGAGCTCGTACTCGACTACACCGACTGCGGAGCCCAAGCACCCTCAACCTGGCAAAGTATCCCACACCAGGTATCCTACACCTTCAAAGCGAAGCCAAACACAACACCATCATGGAAAAAATCCGTCTCAAAAGAAAACGGCACAACAACCTGCTCGCTGATGTTCGAAATTCCCGAATCAATGGGCCCGCCCGTCTTCATGTACTACCGTCTCACAAACTTCTACCAAAACCACCGACGCTACGTGCAATCGCTCTCCCTGGACCAATTAAAGGGCACAGCTGTATCCAACTCCACCATCAAGAGCAGCACCTGTTCCCCGCTAGCCATTGACGACAAGACCCAGAAAGCAATTTACCCGTGTGGATTAATTGCAAACTCGATGTTCAACGATAGTATCTCGGAACCGAAGCTCCTCTCCGGAGACCAGTCTTCGACTGGTACTTATAATATGACGAAGAAGGGAATCGCTTGGTCGAGTGATAAGGAGTTATACAAGCAGACCAAATACAGCCAGTATGATGTCGTTGCGCCGCCGAATTGGGCCGATAAAAATTATGAGAAGGATGGTATTCCGAATTTACATGAGGATGAGGATTTCATGGTTTGGATGAGGACGGCGGGTTTACCTTCTTTTAGCAAGATGTCGCGCAGGAATGATGATACTGCTATGGAGAAGGGAACTTATCAGTTGGATATTACAGATCGTATGTTTGAAATGGAATGGTTGGGAGTAGGGTTCCTACTGAGTGATAATTTGCTAACGATAATGATGATTCTAGAATTCAATGTCACCGAGTACTCCGGCACGAAAGGCGATTCTTCTCTCGACGCGCACTGTTATGGGTGGGAAGAATCCTTTCATGGGAATTGCTTACGTTGTTGTGGGAGGAGTTTGTGTGCTTCTGGGGGCTTTGTTCACCATTGCTTATTTGGTTCGGCCTAGGTATGAATACCCCGAAGAAGAAGGAGACGACTTGACTCGACTCGACCCTCGTGCTAATTATATTGTCTCCATAGGAAACTGGGTGATCACACCTACTTAACCTGGGATACAACCAATCAACCCAGCACAGCAACGACCACCGGACGAGATGACCGAGGTGCACCCTAGACAATAAAAAAAAGCAGGATCGGACCGACCCAAACCAACAGACTAATCCGCAAAAAATCTTCCAAAAAAAAAAAAAGCAGAAGTCTTCTCATTTTCTATATCTTCTCTCTTGGCTCCCTCCCTGAGGTTTCCTCTTCCTCACCAGTATGCAAGCAAATGCAATTGGATCACTGTGAATAAATTAAGTGGACCATTCCCGTCCCGGATCGGATCAGGTGTTTATGTTTATTTCTACGTTTTAACAAGGAGTTTGCCTTTTCTATCTACATCTACTGTATCTATCCAACCAATCCAACATTGTCAAAACAACAAGCATTCTCCCCTTCCCCAAATGACCTCATCAAGACTGTCAAGGAATTCCCCAATTCGTCAATGATAGACACGTTCCCACCATCAACTCTTCTATTTCCCGCATCCCCCCTTGCCTACAGCATGCATTCCACACTGATGACGCCGCATTCCCCGGCCAAGCTCATGGCATCCATCGGAGCAGCCAGCTTTCTCGCTAGCCTGGCCTATCCTGGCACTAGCACCGTCGCAAGGTCCGGGTCATGGTCATATAGAGAATGCGTAGGGATGTCCGACTCGACCTCCATCTATTCTTCCGTGTGTGAGGGGGAAAAAATAATACCGACAACAACCCCGGGAAAAACGAAAGGATCACGACAACTTGAAGTTCACGATCCCGACCACGACAGGAGCCATCCAACACCAACAAAATGGTCCGACACTCATTTGCTCCCGTGGTTCTTCTCCTCACAGCCCTGAACCTACTCTTCCTGCAAACGCACAGCACCCCCCCCTAGCCACGCATCAGAAACGCGGTATCTGCGGCACCGAGCATCCTGATCCAGCCTTTCTAGACGCAGTGCATAATGTCCGAGTTGACGAGTCGAATTCAAACGCCACGGACTCTGAAGCTCGGGGTGGGCCTATTGAGATTGAGACTTGGTTTCATATTGTCAGTAGTAAGGCTGAGGCGGGTCAGGTTTCTGATGATATGATTAATAGTCAGGTTAGTTGGTTACTTTTGCTCTTGCTTTGCTCTCCTCCTTTTACCCTACCTGCTAGGGCTCGAGCAAGGGAGGACGAGGGTCGAAGAATTATGCAGCCAGTCAGTCAGTACTAACAAAGCCAAACCCAGCTCTCAATCCTCCAATCCTCATACCAAGACGCCGGCATCAGATACCGTCTCGCAGGAATAACCCGACACGTAAATGACGCCTGGGCCCACGACACCGACGACATCGGCATGAAAACCGCCCTACGAAAAGGGACCTACAAAACACTCAACGTATATTTCCAAACAAACCTCGAAGCCGCACCAGGCCAATCCGGCCGCACCACCTCATCATCATCCAGAGCCCAATCCGCCTCAGACGATCTCTCCGCCAGCGTCCTAGGCTTCTGCACCCTCCCCGACCCAAGCATAAAATCCAACAGCCCGCGAAGCGCCTACGTCAAAGACGGCTGCAACGTCCTAGCAAAAACAATGCCAGGTGGAGATCTGGACCTATACAATCGGGGCGGAACAGCGATTCATGAAATTGGACACTGGAATGGGCTTTTACATACGTTTCAGGGCGAGAGTTGTGATGAGTCGAATCCGGGGGATTATATTGATGATACGCCTCAGCAGTCTTCGCCTACGGGGGGGTGTCCGGCTAGAAGGGATAGTTGTCCTGATCTTCCTGGGGAGGATTTGGTTCATGATTTTATGGATTATTCTAGTGATGTTTGTTATGAGAGTTTTACGGGGGGTCAGGTTAGGAGGATGAGGAATATGTGGATCAATATGAGGGCGGGGAAATGAGGATGAGTGCTTGATATATTGGAACTCAAGTAAAGTGAAGTGATACTCGATACTCGATTGGGTAGAGGGTACTATACTCTACTCTACTTATGGAGCTGAGTGAGTTTCCTCCCTCGGTTGGTTTTTTTTTCTCTTTCTTTCTTGTTATAGAGTTAGGGCTGGGGTTATTATCTACATCTGCATCTACATTCTTACATTATGTGCTCAAGTGGCATATTTATAGTTCATTTTAAATCAAATCAAATCAAATCAGATAAATTCATAGAAAACACTCCTGGTTTTTTCCAAAAAAAAAAATACATAACTTGGTTAAAACCAAGTAAAGAAAGAAGCTTTCCCTTCCCTTCCTCTGCTTTCTGTCCTCCTGCAAAGGAATCAAGCCATCCAAAACAGTAAAGGAAAATGGACAGGTGTGTGTGAGAGAGAAACAACGAAATTGAATTAACCACCCCATTGCCATGAAGTACTACTTTACCGCTTGCGCTTCTTACCAGCACCCTCATCTTCCATAACAGTCTCCTTATCCGCACGCTTAGCCTTCTTCTCAAGTTCATCCCAGTCCTCGCCAGATTCCTCGCCGCTGAGCTCTTCCTCATCTTCACTAGCATCAGCGCTAGCATCATCATCATACCCCTCGCTATCCTCCTCGGAACTCGATTCACCCATCTCATCCTCGGACAATTCAAAGGCGGATTCTTCTTCGTCACCCGAGCCCTCGGAATCGGACTCAGCGGCCAAGAATGACCAACCTCCATCGGCGAAGAAACCGTATGGGTCGCTGACGACGGTCTTCATGATGGTCGACCAGTTCAGGTTCAGTGGTCCCTCGGTGTATGCGATGTCGACGGAGTCGAGCCAGTCCTTGACACCTTCCAGGGCTTCGACGGGGATGGTATTGATGTGCACTGGTGGGCGGTGGAAGTCCTTGAAGACAAAGACCATGTCGAAGTTTTTGAGACCGAACTAGAGAAAGAAAAATGTTAGCAAGAGTTTATAGTGAAATAGCGGGGGAAAGAAATCTGGAAACATACCTGCACACGCTCGAGATGGGCAATCTCAATCTCATTGAGAGTGATGACCATGAAAGGAGGCTCAGTGAGCTGAACAAGAGTATCCGTAGTAGGCTGAATAAGAACATTGGAGCGATTGGGCACACCAGTGAAACCAATTTCACGGAACGGAATATCAACATCAACGCCCTCATCCTTGCCGGAATCCGAGACCTTCTCAGTAAAGGCCTTGAACTCGCGGTTCAGGGCGGCCCTTCGGCGTCTCTCTTCCTGCTCAGCTTCGAATTCCTCCTCATCGCCGTAGCGGTTCTTGCGGCGGCGATTACCCGTCTCATCGAACTGCATCTCGGTAGCTTCGCGGTAGAACTGAACATCGCGCGTCTTTCGCTTTCCAATCATGATGGGTGTTTTGAGGTGCACGTGGATCACGACGATTAGTTCATGGTCACACGGCTGGAAGAAAAGATGCTTGATATTGCTGAAGAGCACATCGACATGCTCGTTGCGGAAAGGTGAGAGGTAGCGGAGACCGTTTTGGTGGATCTCGACTTCGCCGGGAACACGCTTTCCGTCCAGCGGGGGACGGAGGAAGACGTCGGGCAGCTTGACGGGACGGCGGTCTAGAAAGATAGGTTAGTAATTTGTGATATTGCGTGTGATTTTAAATATGAATGAAACTTACTTCTGATTTCAACAAGCTTGTCTTGCTCAACCACGTCCTCCATCTCTTTCTTTTCCTGCTCCCGTCGCAGAGCATTCTTTCGAAGCTCGGTGATGTCCTGTGCAACTTGCGCCATGCGATCATTGTGCTTGGACCGCAATGTTAGGTTGCGGACGAAATGGGCCGATGGATCTTCAAAAGGCTGGTCATCCTTTCGGCCAACACCTTGACCCGGCGAGAGGAAGTTGATACGCAAATAGGCGTATTCGCCCTCGTCACTCTTGCTAGCGTTCTTGATGGTGTTGATGTGGAACGGCACTGGTCTTCCCATAATTGGCACAATGACAGTCGAGGCTTTGTGGTCGACATAAATTGTGAGGTCCTTGACCTTAGCAGGCAGCTGGTTGTCACGCTTGTAAGACTCGAAGCGCTTGAACTTCTTCTGCGCCACACCATTGTCATCCCCGGTGGTGCCTGTAAATCGATCAAGACCCTCCTTGGTCTTCTTGGAAGCCAACTCTTTTTGATGCTCACGACGGCGGGCTTCGGCACCCTCGTTGCTCTGAGTGGGACGTTCGGCACGGAGCTTCGTGCGGGTGACGTTTCGGCTATTCAGGGTACTTGACTTTGGCTCCTTCTCCTTCTTGGGCTGCTCCGGCTCCTCTTCGTCTCCAAAGTAGAAGGAGACAGAGTCCATATCGACGCCGGCATCCTTGGTGAAAATGTGGGGGCCACTCTCTCCTACTCGGACTGTGTCGGTAATGACCATAGAGTAGGTTCCTTTGCCCTTAGATTCATCCTTCAGATCTGTGAACCCGATGCTGATACAGAGTGTCATTCCGTTCTTGAGAGGGCGGTTGTTCTTAGCGTTGAGAACCATGTTCGAGTCGCGCAACTCAATACCGATTCCGGAACCAACATTCTTTGTCAAGTGGTTCTCGAGCTCAGGCTTCTTTGACTTGACTAGGCTGAGCGCCTTGTTGTACAGATCCTTGGCCACAACCCCGTCACGGATCTCCTTCATCACAGCCTCGTGAACATTGAGCAGCAATGAGTAGTTTGCTTCTTGGGCCTTGCTCGGATCCACCAAATAGGTACGCCCGATGAGCGAGTTATAGGTTTTATAACGAATTCCGAAACTGGAAAGAATAATTCCAGGCTTGAGGTTGTTGCCATCGGATGTCGCTGTCAGCTTCAAGTCGTAGGAACCACCACTCTGGACCACAGGTCCATAAGCCCAGTCGATCTGCTCAGCATCGAACTCGGCCGGTAGACGCGCAAGCTTATTGAAGAACTTCGCATCGTCGATTTTCCCATCCACCTTTGCGGCAATAGCCTTGTGTGTCATTTGCTTTTCCTCATCGAGGAGACGAGACATTTCATCGACGAAGTACTCCGACATCAGTCCACTGCAGGCCCTGGAAGCATTGCGGATGGAAACCAGCTCTTCGGGGTCCTTGATGGCGAAGGCGGATGAAAGTGCGGGGGTGATATCGACTTCCTCCACATCCTTCTGGACATCCTTGAAAGCGTTTTTCCATTCATCGGCGAAGGGTCCGGTAGTCGTATCTTTCGGAAGAGTGCCTACTTTTTTCTGTTTCGGGTATTAGTAAAGATACACCTTCCAACTTTGGGCAAATGACATACTCCTGCTTCTTTGATGACACTCAGACACTTCTCGAATGCCTTTGTCTTTGTCTCAGGTTCCTTAGTAGTCACCAAGAGCTCGACGGGAATCTTGCCACCCTTCAACGGCTCCAAAAGCTCGGCTATATTCCCACCGCGTTAGTATCAATATTTTGGGAGGAAGAGCGAAATTGGCAGGGCGCACCTTTCTTTGCGGTAGTGACAACGTGTACGGCCTCGGTGGTGAAGACAAAGAGGGTAGCTGGAAATTCGTATCCGAGGAGCCAGAACTTTATTAACAAAGATAGTACGTTAGCAGGAAGAACATCAAGAGCGCCGGCCCACCAGAGAGGAGTGGATGAATAAATGACATACGTGCATAGCGTTGTTCTTCTGAAATGAGCTCTCATTCGAGTTGGTCTTTCCCATAAGTATGACGATTGAGTCGGCACCACCGAACAGGGTGTTTCCAGACCGCTTGTCAGCCTTCCATGACGCATAGAAGTTGGACAAGTGGTTGAAGAAAGTCTTCTTGTCAATCGCAACCTTGTCGGCCATGTTGGCGATCTGGTGCAAGGCAAAGCTTGCGGGAAGCTGCGAGGCTTGCGCGGTGGGTGAGGCGAGAGGCTAATCGGAGATTAGGATGGCATGCGATGGAGGATTCGGTTGCCGATGGGGGAGGAGGAGTGAGATGAGAGATGGGGGAGGTGAAAGGGAGAAGGTTGGATTTAGCCTGAGGAACGCGAAAAGCGCGTTTTTGGCGGAGTTGGACCCAGCAGCCCCCCGTGCTCAGTTTTGCCTCTTTGGGACTAGCGCAGCTCTCTGGTTCGCACGCTGTGCTCGACACTGACGTAGGTACACTGTGTGTATGTACTTGAGGCTGAGTGATGAAATTGTTTTTATTTTTTATTTTTTATTTTTGAGAACGAAACATCAACTATCCTTTGCACCTGATATATAAGATCGCCAGTGTTGAAGGTACTTTGGTGTTGCCCTAGTCCAGGAAGAGCAGGAAGAGCACACACATATATCAGGGCGCACCATATGTACTAGCTATGCTAAGCCATGTGGTTTACAATCATGTACCTGGGCAGACATATGTAATTCACTTTGTAGATAGCAGAGTGGACGGATGGTACTATGTGGATTGTCGTTCGAATTACAAAAATATGGATGGTTCCAAGCCATTGCTGGCTACACTACCGAGACTGACCACATGAGCGAGACTACGATGGCAGTGCAGATTTATCTTATGACGTTGATCCCGCCTAGAGAACCAGGTAAACTACCCCAGTTCCAGCCTGATGTAAAATGTGCCATACATGTCGTGAACTTTTTTGTTTTCCTAGTATCCTGAGAAGACAATAAATGCCATGATTGACCTAACTGACATCACGTAAAGAAACACCACCCCAATTGTGTCTCGCCATTTAAACGGTCTCCAGAACAGTCTCCTTGAACTCCCGCTCGACCTTCTGGCCCTTGTCATCAGTGGCCGACTCGCCGTGGAGGGACAGGAGGGCGCCCAGGTCGAACTTGGGCTGCTTGAGCAGCTTAACCTTGCGAATGTGGACCTGAAAGAAAGAAACAGAAAAATTAGTCGGCTGAACGGGACTGAAAAAACAAAACTTCCACCAGAGATAGAACATACATTCTGCAGGGGGTAGATGCCCTGGGTGGACTTCTCGATCTCACGGCCAATAACCTCGGGGATGAGCTTGTGGGTGAGCTGGGACAGGGTGCAGCTGGTGGCCTCGCGCTGGATGATCTCGGTCATCTTCTTGCGGATGGCCCGGATTTGAGAAGAGCGAGCGTAGGTGGTCTTCTTAATCTGGTTGGGGCGACGCTTGGTGAAGGCAATGGCGAACAGACGGATGAGGTAGTCGTCAGTGGTCTTCACGGTGACGTTGGCCTCGATGAGAGACTGCCACTTGCGGACGAGGGAGCGCAGCTTGTCGGTGGTGAAGTCCAGACCGTGGAAGTTGGTCAGGCAGTTCTTGCCCTGGATCTCGTCGACGCGGAGCTTGACCTTGCGGAAGGAGTGGTCCTCATCGTTCTGCAGGTCGGCGAGGGAGACCTCGAAGATACGGCCCTTGAGGGAGTCGTTGGCGTTCTTCAGACCGCTGGTGCGGTTGACAAGGGTCTTGCCGACACTTTGGTTTTCGTTAGCATCTGTTGTTCGTTGTAACGGATCGATTGTTCGATAGTCATCGATAGTCCAGGGAGAAGAAAAAAAATAGGGAGGGGTGTCCTACTCGCGGGTCTGGAAGGTGGAGGGGGCCTGGGTGAAATTGTTAGCATTTCCAAATTCGATTCGCAAGCGATTGAGAAATGCAGGGAACTCACCTTGACGGAGTACTCGTCCTTGCGGGTGAAGGGGTCGACAGTGCGCTTCTTGATACCCTTCTTACCCTTGCTAAGGCGCTTGTTCCTAAAGACCAGTGGGTTAGTCGATCAATTCGAGATGGCGACGAAGACGTGAAGACGAGGATAGGGCCAGCAGGGGGGATCGAAAGAGGTGGGCGACGTACTTTCCAACAGCCATTGCGAATCGGTCTATCTGTGTGTTAGTTGAAAGACAGACAAAGGTATCGCTCCACGGCGCTCAAAGGTTTCGAGATTCACGCTGCACGGCTAGGGAGGGTTTCCAATTTCCAACCCACAGAAAACTCGCTAAGCGAGGCCCTACTGCTGAGGTCAGCGGCACGTGACACACACTCGCAAATTTACCGTTCGGGAGGAGAACCAATCAGAGTGGGTTATTTTATGGGCGACTGGAGTATCACTGATATCACCGTCAATTTTGCTTTGCCTGAAGGTGCTGGGTTTTATTTTTGGAGTGCGGTGGTGTCTTTTAGCAAGCAGAGGGAGTTTCTATATGTAAATGAACTTATCTATATGGTAACCATCCTATATCTTCAGTTGAAAATTACAATACTATTTAAATAAATTGGTGATTGACTGATTTATTCTGTACAAGTATATACTTCTCAATCATAAAATTCCAATTCCATTGCCACAAGTACGAGTACTTACGACTTTTGGATCCTCCTGGCCACCTTAGTGCCTGAGTCTGAGTCTTGGCTGGACAACGGGGACGGCGCGGAAGAATGGATCTCCGATATCTCGTACTCCGCACCGGCGGCGCCAACCCCTCACAACTCCCAACTCTCCATCGCAAACACTCACTTTGTCATCCTAGAGCATGGTATGTCGCATGTCGCCGAGTCCATTCTACGCAGCTCATCCTAACTATCTCTCCTACAGGGAAAGCGCAAGTCGTCCAGTAAACCCCAAGGGCCGCGAAAGGTGCGACACAACCTCTACCCGTATCCGTTCCACTTTCCCCATCCATCCCAGCTAACAGAGACCAGCGGGAACCTCTTGCCACCACATTCGCTTGTCTCTTCTGCAACCATGAAAACTCGGTCGTTGTCAAGCTAGATAAGAAGCTGGGTCTTGGCGATCTATCCTGCAAAGTTTGCGGGCAGAAGTTCCAGACCGGCATCAACTGTAGGTGGAAATTGGAAATTGGAAGGGAATTCCCCAGCGACTATGCGCATTGACTCACAATCTGCTAGATCTATCCGCCGGAGTCGACGTTTATTCCGACTGGGTCGACGCGTGCGATGCCGTGGCCAAGGAAAGCGCCAACCAATACGATGGCGCTACGAGCTCGCAGCTGGCAAGCAGCAAACAGGGTGCGCCGGCACTAGCGGAGGCCGACGAAGACGAATACTGATCATATCGAGATATCATTTAAAAAGGGAGGGAGGGGGCGAATGGCGCATGGTTCTGGTACCGATTCGAGGAATGTTATTTCCGGCGCATCCATCAATTCGTTTCGATCTCAATCACTTTTGTCCACGGACGCGCTCTGCTTTCGAAACTGAAACGCAATCAACATTTTCTTTTTTTATCAACAATATATTGTACGGATTTACGTTTGGATTTGGACATCGGCAATTAAGTAATTTCTTGGAAGTAGTTGGAATTGAAGTGAAGGTGAACATCGTCAACGATGTTCCAAGCTATATGCTTGTGGTACCCATATATACTATATTTAGGCCTGAAGAGCCGGGCAGCGTATGCGTCAAGCCTCAACTTACAATGTCATTTCTGGATGAGAAGTTTGGCTCTACAGCGTGTAATAACGGTCACCGAAATCGCCAAGTCCAGGGACGATGTATCTGTGAGTTTCGTTAGTATCGTTAGATCTATAAAATAATTGGGTATGGCGGCGTGTATACTTCTTCTCATCCAGCCCTTGGTCAATGAACGCGGTGACGACCCTCAGCTTAGGAAATCGTTCCGCAAATTCAGCAACGCCAGAGGGGCTAGCAATCAAATTCAAGAACAGAATGCGATGCTCAGGAACTCCCCTCTCCTTCAGCACTTCCACCGCCAAGGTCGCGGATCCACCTTTGTATAGTGTCAGTAGGGCGGTCAGAAGGAAAGAGAGAGACCATTCAAATTGAACCTACCAGTGGCAAACATAGGGTCAAGGAGAAGAACCCATCGGTCAGCAATATCTTCAGGAAGCTTGTCATAGAAAAGCTTGGGCATGCATGTCTCCTCATCTCTTTGGATCAAGATCTTGCCGATCCGAACTGACCGGCAGCAGTCCCTCAGTCCTTGTTCCATGGCTTCTCCAGCTCTCATGATGGACACTCCGCAAATCTTTCCTTCGAACTTGACACCGAGGTAGTCCCGTCCAACTGGAGTTTGGATCGATTGCTCGACTACGGGCAGGTGGTTCAAGCCTTCTTCCACCAAGAGGCGAATAATGCGGTTGGAGTAGAAGATGAAGTCCGCACGGGCGGTACGCCCATCTCGGATCATACTATTGATTTTGTTAGAGATAGAGCATTCCAAGGAGATATTTTTGTCTTTTTAGAAAGGTATTCTCACGTCAAAAGAGCAATCAACTGAGGTGTTTGCGGGAGCACGTGGACATTATCGTAGGAAACCTCTTTAGAGACGGTTGCGGTGGGCTTCTCGCCATCAGGACGATAGACGGGACCAACACCCTGGGCAGGAGAAGGGACCTGTGCTTTGCTAGCCATGATGTTGAGTGAGTTGAGGTCTGTGAAAAGAAGTCAAAGAGCTATCACCCCGCCAGGTGAAATAGAAGAAGACCCTAAGGTAGCTGAAAGCGGGGAGGGTTTTTTCTCTTATCGCGTATCTCGTGGACCGAGTGACCTTCCCGTCGGACTCCGCACTTGCCCAATGCTTCTGCTCCTGCGCCTGCGCCTGCCGTCGCATTCGCATTCGACTCTTCTCCAACACCCGCATCCACGGGGGCTGCACTACCAGACAACTTTGATGCTTGCTCTTTCTCTCTTTGAACTCGGATCTCCCATCGAATCCTCTTCACCAGACAATTGAGTCTTCCGCGACGGGATCTCTCGAGTCCGAATTGCACAATAAATCCCGCACGGTCCCTCGACACTCCCCCCTCCCCATCTCCATCTACGCTTGAAACGAAATCGGCATGTCTGTGGCGCACACGATAGCTCTTCAAGCTCCTCTGATCGATCTTTCCGATCTGTGAATCTGCGAATCCTTTCAAAACCCCAATTGTTTTCTCGCGCCTCCCTTTGGGGCGCATGAAATGCGCCGTGTTTAGAGGTTTATTCTTGAAACGCGACAATGGATCCGTCGCGTCCCCGAAACCGCAAGCAGGTAACCTACGGCTCTTCGTCGAGACGGTCGATATCGAAGAATATATCTGGGCATGAATCAGCCCCGAGTCCAGCTCCCACAAGGAGAACTCTAGCCTCTCGTTCTTCTAAGACCGGGATATCCGGCAATGAGGATGCGAATGCGAATGCGAATGCCGACAAACGACCAAGAACCCCTGGGAAGACCAAAGCAGTCGCAGCCGCAGGATCGCAAAAGGCTACGGATGATCATGTTTACGATATTCCATCTTCTGACGACGAAAATGTCAATCTAATCCTACAGCGGAAGCGACGACGGGGTGGTCCGAAAGGCAGCATCAGCACACTCCAAATCTCGGATTTAATAGCCAGCGAAGACGATAAGCAAAATGGGGACAGCATGCTGGGTTCAAAAATAATGCAGAATCATACTCAAACTACTCCAGCCCGGGCGAGGGTAACCCTGCAAGATCGAAAAAGGGTCCAGGGACAGAAGCGGGACATTGAAACCCAGCAACCGAGTCCTAAAAAGCCCAAGACTCCGACTCGCTCGACGTTTGGCAGAAGCTCAAGACCTCAGAAATATGTCTCATCATCAGAAGACGAGTTACAGCAACCGGTGCCACAACCGGTGCCAGCCAAGGACAGTCCACAAAAAAAGGAGCCCGAACTTGAACCCAGTGCCAAGTCGCTCTCGCCTATATCTTCGCCCATATCTTCGCGACCACAAAAATACACACATACGACGATTGGAAACACAACACCGGGAAGGAGGAGGTTAGTCGATGCATTGGGAACAAGAGAAAGATCAATCGACCGGACATCATCGAATGGGTTTACCGACAGCCAACTATCTTCCCCCGTGGCCTCCCAAAGCCCAATTAGACCCAGGGACACTGGCGCTGAATCACTCAGCAATAGTCAACGTGAGCTTCTTGCACCAGAGCCCACCACCGCACCGTCCCCGCATTTCCTAGGTGGGAAAGTTACGTATGCTCGACAGCGTTCTTTCCTGGACGACCTCAATTTATCCGGCGATATCTCCGCTGGCATAGAAGGAGACGATCTGTTCAGCCCCAAAGGGTTGACCGAGGCTCTTCCCCGTGCTCGTCTATACGAAATAGAGGATGCCACGAATGATGACGGGGCTGTTCGAAGCATTCATGAGCTCAGGCAAGCCGGAGGAAATGCTCGCTACCGGAGTGCCATCGAGTCGATTTTTGAAGACATTGAAGATGCGCAGATCTCCGTATCAGGCCGATGCGGTGCGTTGGCTCAGATATGCGGCAAATTGCTAGACCCCAAACAGGCACGGCAATTTGCCGAGTGTGGATTTGACAAGAGAATTGTGGATTGTTTGTCCAGAGATTTGGATTTGGTCTCTGCTACACTTGCATTCTCTGCATTTGGTCTGAGTTCCGCTGGTCGATCTCTGCCATATATCATTGCAACCGCTGCGTGGCCAAAATTGTTGGAAACAGCGCCCATTCTCCTTTCCGTGCAGAAGGATGTTTCCGTCGTGGCATGCGCCCGAGAGAATAATTTGTCCAAAGTGACTCAAGGGATTGTACAAGACATTGCACCGAAAATTCAGTCGAAATTGTTTGCTGATGTCGACGACTCCGAATTTTCACCTCGTCTTTTGGCCCTCTTCTGCCTCAGAGTGACCATTTCCGCATTTCAAGAGAAGGGCGAAAGCCCATCAGGTCTTTCTACAGGCCTATTGAGACAATTGGTTGATATTTTGTTGTCTGAATGCTCTCATGGGAGCAAACAACCTATAGGAAAAGGAAGATCGCAGGTACTTGTTTTGGGGCTAGTTCTCCTAGAAACACATACGACTTCGAGCAGTCTTCTCCAGGACGAGTACTGCGATGCCTTGAAGTCACTTCCCGCGCTTCACAGCCTGCTACAGGTGCCAGGTGACTCGGATGAGGTCGGCCAGGAGCTTCAGAACCTCTACATCCGGGTGATTTTGAATGTGACGAATAGCAGCGCGGATCTGTGCGATCACTATGCAACATCGCCTATGATCGAAGCGCTGGCTGAAATCGTGATGTCCAAATTTAATGACCCTAGATGCGGACACTCTTTCCCAGTCAGAGGGAATCAGTTCCCTGGACACGGTGATTTTGACGCTGGGCGCTCTCATCAATTTGACCGAACAGAGTGAAAAGTCTCGCGCTATGTTCCTCAATACGTCTCGAGAATCTGCAGCTGAATCTGAATCAATTCTCGATCAACTCGTCCACCTGTTTCTAGAACATGTGGAATCAACTGCACAGGTATGTGGACTCCCTCTCTTTCTGACCCGGAGAACCCTATCTAACCAAATTCCAGGCCGATTCCGTTCCAGAAGTCCACCATAATGTAGCAGTGGGTTACCTTGCCGTTCTCCTTCTCTCTCTCTGTTTAGATCGTGGAGTGCGGCTTCAAGTCAAAGAAATCTTACAACCCAAGGATCTTTCAGTGGTGATGTCGACGGTGGACGAGTTCATGCAGTATCACCAAAAGATCGAGCAGGAGCTGCACCCCATGCAGAACGGCAACGAGACAGGTGGATTCCTCGGGCGGCTCCAAGACCTTGTTGGCCAAATACAGTTTATTGAGGGGTAATCATGCATGCGATGTTGCATGGTACCCCGGATGTAACTTTGTACATTTTTGTGTTTTGGTGGTTTTGGTTTTGGTATTATGGTAGTGGGACCCCCGGATTTTGCGGAGGCGGATGGGGATGGCGTTGGGGCAGGATCTTTTTTTTTTGTTTTCTTTTTGAATTTCCAATGATTGATACCCTTTGTGATGCATACCTATGTTCAATTACGGAAGAATGATATTTGAATTTACCAGTAAAGCCTAAGTTACCCTAAGATACCCCCTAGTATAAGGAGTACATCTCCGATACTTGGAATGTACATCTGTACTCTACTCTACATACAGTGCTCGTAACCAGGGCTGGACCCGATCGATCGATCGAAACTGTTTGCAGCGTTTGCACCCCATCCAAGCTCATGCTTTCCCAATCATTTGGAACTTTGCCACCCGTGAGCAACGCTGTTTCCACCTCCTCCAGCGACTTGTTCTTCCAGTCTTCAATTCATCGACTTCTTTGCCTCGTATTATCCCCGCCCATATCATCGCCCCTTTGTTCCCGCACCCGCAAAACCAACCGTCAAGATGCCAGCTGCGCCGAAACAGAGGAAGATCGCAATTGTCGGCAGTCGTTCCGTCGGTATGAACTCCCTTCGTCCAGAGTTACCAACCCTTTATTTTACTCTGCTTTGCTTTGCTCTACCCCCATTGGCGTGGTGCGGTGAGGTGAGGTGTGGTGTTGTGGCTTGGAGTGTTGTGTTGTGTTGTGTTATGTTGTATTGCCTGATCTGACATACTGACATTATTCGGCTCGGTGTAGGCAAATCCTCCCTCACAGTCCGTTTCGTGGAGCACCACTTCGTCGAAAGCTACTACCCCACAATTGAGAACACATTCAGCCGAATCATCAAATACAATGGGCAGGATTATGCGACTGAGATCGTCGATACCGCTGGACAGGTATGTCCTTACCCTTACTTCCCCTCCCGTGGGGCCCCTGCGTCGGTCTCGTCGCTGACCCATTATGATTATCGTTACGTGCAGGATGAGTATAGCATCCTGAACTCGAAGCATTTCATTGGTATTCATGGGTATATTATTGTGTACTCTGTTACTTCGCGGCAGTCATTTGAGATGGTGAAGACTATTCGGGATAAGATTTTGAATCATTTGGTGAGTTACCAGTGGGATGCTCCAGACAGCCAATGAATGTCGCTGACGATGACGATTTCCAGGGAGCGGACGAAGTACCCCTAGTGGTCGTTGGTAACAAGAGTGATCTGAAGACAGAGCTACGACAAGTTTCTCTCGAAGAGGGTCGCCAATTAGCAGAGGAGGTTAACTGTGCTTTCACTGAAGCCAGTGCTTTCCTTGATTTCAATGTTTCCAAGGCCTTTGAGCTGATGATTGGGGAGATTGAGAAGTCTCAGAATCCTGGGCAGCCGGCCGGTAACAACAAGTGTGCTGTGATGTGAGAGGTGCTGCCGCAATCGCTTGACATTATTACTTTTTTTCCGGTACGTTGCATTTGCTAATTCAGGGGAGATTGGATTCGATCCTGTCCCAGATAATCACAGTTTTGTCAGTGAGAATATTCCGTACTAATATACCTCTGGCATCTAGGAACTGTGTCGGTGAATGTATCGAATGCTCCGCTCCGCTCCGCTCCACTCCACTGAACTCCCGAGATCGAGTCGGGTAGCATCGCTCGCACTTTTCTACTTATTGCTCTCTTTTATTCGCTTCTTCTACTCTTCTTCTTCTCCTTCTTCTCTTCTTTTTTCTTGGCTTGATGGAACATTGGGATCGGTTGCATGAATCATGAGGTTGTTTTTGTCTGGCTAGGGATTCTGTATTTGGTACCGCAGCGTGCATAGAATAATGAAATAGGCCAAATGGCCCCTTCAATGGTCACCAACCCCTTTTCCTTTTTAGACGAACCTATCTTTGTTTCAAATGTGAAACCACGTCGCTAGTACGAGTTCTGTTAGTACTAGTACTGGTTGTATTGCTTTACTTCCCCGGCGGCTTAAGTAATGCCCCGCCGCGCACTTTTCCATTTTACCCCTCCACAACTGGACGTCTCCGGCCTTGACTCACCAGATCAGTTTTTGCACACGAGAAATTTGGTATTCGCCATGCTCGACCTTAACGATTTCATTACCGAGCGCGGTGGCGATCCTAAGAAGATCAAGGAGAGCCAGCGCCGACGTGGTGCGCCTGAGGAGGTAGTTGACGAAGTCATTGCGCTGTACGAGGAGGCTCGCAAGGGTATGCCATAACCCATGCACACTTCATTGACACCTATAACGAGGGTCAAGTCTAACATCAGACAGTTCGCTATGGAGTCACCCAAATCGGATCCCAAATGAACGCCCTTCTTAAGCAGATTGGCATGAAGAAGAAGGTAGACCCGCCCAACCTGTATATACCTCTCGTGCCACATCTGCAGCATACTCACCCATATCGCCCGAATAGAACAAGGAGGATGCCAGCGAATTGATTGCCGAGAAGACCACTCTGGATAAGAGTAAGAAGGAGGCTGAGGACAAGGCTATCGCCGTTGAGAACGAGCGCGACCGCAAGATCCGCACTATCGGAAACTACGTCCACGATTCCGTTCCCGTTAGCCAGACTGAGGTAAGAAATTCTTACCCTTGCAGATTTGCAGATTGTAAAAACATTGAGAACGGCCACGGCTAACCTAACCGCCGGCACACTCTAGGACGACAACCCAATCGTCAAGACCTGGAAGCCCGAAGACGCAGCCATGGACCGACCCGACTGCCTCTCCCACCACGAAGTCCTAACCCGTCTGGACGGCTACGACCCCGAGCGCGGCGTGAAGATCGTCGGACACCGTGGATACTGTCTGACCGGCTACGGACTCTTCCTGAACCTGGCCCTGGTCAACTATGGACTGGAGTTCCTGTTCAACAAGGGCTACACGCCCAACCAACCCCCGCAGTTCATGCTCAAGGATCTCATGGCCAAGACTGCCCAGCTGGAGCAGTTCGATGAGGAATTGTACAAGGTCACCGAGGGTGAGGATAGCTCTACGGATAAGTATCTCATTGCTACCTCCGAGCAACCGCTTTCTGCTCTGCACGACGGCGAGTGGTTGCAGGAGAAGGATCTGCCTATCAAGTAGGTTTCTCCATTCCAGCTCGAATGAGTGAATGATACTAACAGTTCCTCCCTTCAGGTACGCTGGTTACAGCACATGCTACCGCAAGGAAGCCGGTGCCCACGGCAAGGACGCATGGGGTATCTTCCGCGTCCACCAGTTCGAGAAGATCGAACAATTCGTCCTGACCAAGCCGGAAGACTCATGGAAGGCCTTCGACGACATGATGAACACCTCCGAGGAATTCTACAAGACCCTAGGTCTCCCATACCAAGTTGTCTCAATCGTCTCCGGCGCCCTGAACAACGCCGCGTCCAAGAAGTACGATCTGGAAGCGTGGTTCCCCTTCCAAAAGGAATACAAGGAGCTCGTCTCCTGCTCCAACTGCCTTGACTACCAGTCCCGAGCCCTGGAGATCCGATTCGGACAGAAGAAGGCTACGGATCTGAAGAAGACCTACGTGCACGCGCTGAACGCTACCCTGTGCGCCACTGAGCGTACTCTTTGCTGTGTTCTGGAGAACTACCAGAGGGAAGATGGTATTGAGGTTCCTGAGGTTCTGCGCAAGTATATTCCCGGACAGCCGGAGTTCTTGCCTTACACTAAGGAGTTGCCTAAGGATACTACCTCTGCGCGTGTTAAGGCTAAGCAGCAAGCGAAGGCTGGGGCTGCTGATGAGGCGGCTAAGAAGATGAAGGATCTTCAGGTTTAGAGAGGGGAGGAGAGGATTGCTTTGCTTCTTAAGTTTAAACCATACAATCAAAACGAGCGAACTGTTAAATACCATATAATGCGGAGCTAGGCAGCCGTAAAACAGTGAATTTCTGCGACAGTCCTAGATATCTACTATTCCATAACTATAACTATAGCTATAGCTATAACTATAATCATAACCATAACTATACTATACTATACTATAAGTATAGCAATGCTCTCCGCCGATCTCGCCCCACTCCGGCTTGCCGAGTTTTGGCGGTGAAGCATTGGCGTGCAAATTCCGACGGAACTTTTGGCAGAAAAAAAGCAAAAAAGCAAAAGCCGAAAAAAAAAGAAGTGCCCCGCGATGCCCCTCTCTATTTTACCCAAAGGTACTCGTGAGTCACACTGGTAGTTATAGAAGTGACTCAGTGGAAGGGTAAGCAAAAGGATAAATAGTGTGGAAAGGGAATAAAAAGTAACAAATACTCGTTAATTAAATTAAACCAAAAGTCAATTGACTCAAAGCCCGCTTGCGTGCTTTTTTTTTCTCTAATATTTTCTCTCGCCGATTCCGGAGATCTGACAGTTTGGGCTTATCTAATTCAACTGTGATTCATACAAGCACTTTGGAAGAGAAGAACATCACATCATTCTCTCCCCTCCTCTCTCCTCCCCCAATTCACCCTCAAGGTTTACACACACACACAATGACCTCCGCTCAAGACATTCGTCCTCGCCAGGACGAACTGGCCGCTCAGGCTCAGTACTTCTCGACCTCCCCCAATGCTTCCTTCCACTCCCCCTCCAGCCACGGCTCAGCACTCACCCGGACAATTCCCCTGCCCAATGCGAAGCACCTGAAGCCATTCGCCACTGAGGATATCAAGGTCCTCCTTCTGGAGAATGTCAACCAGACTGGCCGTGACATCCTGTCACAACAGGGATACCAGGTTGAATTCCTCAAGTCTTCGCTGCCTGAGGATCAGCTGATTGAGAAGATCCGGTATGTCCCATACTCATGCAATGCTTCCAGCGCATGCTGGAAGGGAGAGATTGAGACAGAGAGACCTCCCCAATGCAATCCAAATACACATACTAATCCAACTCCAGCGACGTCCACGTCATCGGCATCCGCTCCAAAACCAAGCTCTCCGCCCGCGTCCTCAAAGAAGCCAAAAACCTCATCGTAATCGGCTGCTTCTGCATCGGCACCAACCAAGTCGACCTCCAATACGCCGCCGACCACGGCATCGCAGTCTTCAACTCCCCCTTCAGCAACTCCCGCAGTGTCGCCGAACTAGTCATTGCCGAGATCATCGTCCTAGCCCGCCAACTCGGTGACCGCTCCAACGAAATGCACGCAGGAACCTGGAACAAAGTCAGCAACGGCTGCTGGGAGATTCGCGGCAAGACGCTCGGAATTATCGGATACGGACACATTGGCGCCCAACTTTCCGTTCTGGCAGAGTCAATGGGTCTATCCGTTATCTTCTACGATGTCGTTAACCTGATGGCGCTGGGTAGTGCCCGACAAGTCGATAGCATGGAAGCATTCCTTTCCGAAGCGGATTTCGTCTCCTGCCATGTCCCCGAACTCCCCGAAACAAAGGGCATGATTGGAGCCAAACAATTCGAACAAATGAAGAAGGGCTCTTATCTCATCAACGCCAGCCGTGGAACCGTCGTCGATATCCCGGCTCTCATTGACGCCATGCGCAGTGGAAAAATCGCCGGTGCCGCTCTCGACGTTTACCCCAACGAACCCGCCGGAAATGGCGATTACTTCAACAGCGAGCTTAACAGCTGGGGCGCTGATCTGCGCTCGTTGAAGAATCTCATTCTTTCCCCCCACATTGGCGGTTCTACTGAGGAGGCGCAGAGTGCTATTGGCGTTGAGGTCGCGCAGGCTCTTACTCGTTATGTTAATGAGGGTACGACTCTTGGTGCGGTCAATTTGCCTGAGGTTGCGCTTCGTTCTTTGACGATGGATGAGCCGGATCATGCGCGTGTTATCTATATTCATCAGAATATTCCTGGTGTGCTGCGTAAGGTCAATGAGATTATTGGCGATCACAATGTTGATAAGCAGATGACTGATAGCAGAGGTGATGTGAGTATACAAACTTCCCCGAACCGAGCGATCTCCCTCCCCGAAGAAATTCTCTAACGCAAATAAACTACCATAGGTCGCCTACCTGATGGCTGATATCAGCAACGTCAACACAACCCAAATTAAGGACCTATACACCAGCCTGGAGAGCCTTCCTTGTAAGTCGCCTAGCCTGGCCTGGGGCACCTCCGTTCTGTTCTATTCTTTCGAGCCTCAAAAAACACAAACTAACCATCACAAACAGCCCGCATCCAAACCCGCATCTTGTACTAGATATTTTTTGTCCGAGCAGCAATGCTCAACTTTTCTCTTTGTTCATGCTTTGTTCATGCTCTGCTGTAATCAACTACACTACAAACGTTGGAAACAAATCCCATTGATATGAAAATATTGAATGGTGGTTTTTCCATTTTCACGAAGTCCCGCATAGGATAGGATCACTTTCAACGAGGTCCTGGAATCAAAATCAAAATCAAAATCAAAAATGAAAAGCATATATTCTAAAAGTTAAGGAAGTGAAGATCCAAAAGAGTCATGTGAATTGGTTTAAGTAAAGTAAAGTAAAGTGCATTCTATATTATTCTATTTTTCGCGGAAGTGGAAGTAGAAGAGAAATAAACGCCAGTGTATGCCCGAGTATAGTATATATAGTCATTACTATACCGGTTACAGTGACGATTGTTGAAAATGGATCAAGTTCTTTATATATTCCAGAAGTCCGAGTCATAGTATGCAAAATATTCCACTTTGAAGCCCTCAAACCTATTCATCTGAAAAACTTGAACATCTAAGTCCCACTGCATCCATAGATAATTTGAAATAACAAATAAACCAACCAACCTTCCACACTGTATATCTAGATAGAAAATTCAACTTCGACCTGGAACCATGACCTTGAAGTATACAGCTCAACAGAAACCAGTATAAACAAACAGGAAGGGGAAAAGAAAACACCGCATCTCAGGACAGATAGGAGAGAATGGATAGGTAGATAGACAGAGAACCACAGAAGAAGAATAGAAATAGGATAGAATAAAATAGAATAAAATAAAGTACAATGCCAAGAAGAGTTGAACAATTGGATATACAGCGTTCGCAAGATAAAAATCATACAGATGAAGAATCAAACAAAAACTTCAAGTTGAATGCACCACTCCATTCTATTCCATTCCTTCCAAGGAGGAAAAAGGAAATAAACGGAACGGAACGGGCAGCCAATGCAAAATAAGAGAAGCCGAAAGCAGAGCAGAGTAGATAGGAATGGTGTGGGTATGGATCCAAGATGAGCAGGAAGATCCTAGGTATCAGATATGACGGGAAGTAAAAGAAGAAAAGAAAGAACAGCAATGTTCGTTCAATGGTTCGTCCAGGTCCACGCTCACAATAATGTCAATGTCCATGTCCATGTCCATGTCCATGTTCATCGATCATCCCCATCCTCCCCCTGCCCCAATTGTCTATACTGACTCTGACTAGCACTACTCCCACCCCTTAGACCTCTTAACCATCTTCGAAATCCAACCACCAAACCCTTCCCCCGACCCAAGCCCGGTGATGAACCAGCCTTGTTATTATTAAGCCCGGCCCCGGACCCAGACCCAGATCCAGACCCAGGCCCATCAAATGACGGAGGATCAATATCAAGACCAGGAATCGCACTCTCAGCGCCAAATTGGCCATACGGTCTTCGAATATCGAGAGATGGGACGGGCGATCCGGCGCTTGCGCCTAGAAGTGAGCCTCGCTCGCCTTCTGTTGCGGGAGTTGGCATTGCGGTTGTTGCGTCGCCGAATAGGACGTCCATGTCTTCTAGGCGGACGCCGCTTGTTTCGGGGTATAAGAAGTACACTTTTCGTCAGAGTTAGCAACAGAAAAAGCAAAAGCAAAGCGAAAGCCGGTTTGCGGTTATGGGAAGGGGGTTCCTACCGAGAACGAAACTGCAAGCGCAGAAAAATGCATGAACTAAATAGAGACGCCATTTAATAGCGCCCTGAAGAACGGGGGTGACTTCTCCAACAAGCCAGTTAAAAGCCCAATTACTGGCCGTACTCAGACTAGCTCCCTTAGCACGAATGCTGAGGGGCAGAATCTCCGGAGGGTAAAGCCAGGGAATTGGGCCCCATGAAGCGCCAAAGGCAGCATTGTAGATCATGACGAATATGACAGTCAGAACAGGCGTGGCGTCAATATTGAGGAAGATGAAGTATGAGATGCTGGAGAGTGAGATGACCATTGCCACTGCGCCGCAGAGTAGAATAGGTCGGCGACCCCAATTGTCGACTAGGTACCATGGTGGGATTGTGGAAAGGAGATAGGTAATGCCGTTGATGCCGGTCATTAGGATTGCTGAACGGCCAGTCCAGCCAGCGGACTCGAAGACAAGCGGGGCGTAGTAGGATATCACGTTTATTCCGTTCAATTGGGCCATTGCTTGTGCGGACATGGCGATTAAGACTCGTTTCCAGTAGCGGCGGAACATGTCGGCGTAGGAGCGCTCGCCTTCTTGTCGTTGGATTAGGACGTTCATTTTGATTTCTCGGTATTCTTGGCGTGCTTTGTCGTTGTGGATGTCTCCTTCGCCGTATAGGTTTGCAATTACTACCATGCCTTCCTCGTCGTGATCGAAATCTAAGAGCCATCTGGAGGGAATCAGCAAGGAAAACGAAACGCGGTTGGTTGGATGAGAGTTGGGCAGTTCCGATAACTCCAACATACCGAGGGGATTCGCAAATAACCAAGCTTCCAAAACCAAGCAGTGCGCCCATAACGCACTGAACAAGAAGCGGGATACGCCAGGAATAATCATTCTCGATAAAACTACAACCGTAGTCCACCCAAACACTAGTCGCATATCCGGCAATGTTTCCCGTGAATTCAATGCAGGCCAATTGGCCACGATTATGCGGGGGCTAAACGAACACGACGAAGTCAGTATACAAGCACAAGCACCGCCACGATGGGATAGAATGAAATGGATTCTCTCCATACCGAAATCTCAGACTGGTAGACCGGCACGATAGTCGACAGGGCACCAACGCCCAAACCAGCGATAATTCTCCCCACCATCATCATAGCCATACTCGTCGCAGCAGTTTGAATGGCACCACCGACAAAGAACACCATCGAGCCGTACAAGATGGTTCTCCTCCGGCCGATCAAATCCCCAACGCGCCCCACTAACAGGGAAGATATAAACGCTCCGATCTCGAGGATGGCGACTGCGGTTCCGATGGTGGCTGGGGAGGGCTGATCGAAGTAATCTCGGAAGTGCTTCCTCTGCATTACATTACAGTTAGTATTCGACATATACGGAAGGGTCGGGTCGCGTTGGAGTAGGGTAGGCCCGGGGTTTGCGCGTAGGGAGGGGACAAAATACGGACGTGATGATTCCACTCATAACACCTTGATCATAGCCGAATAGACTGCGGGGGTAGTCAGCACTGGTGAGCACAAGAGCAGGTGAATGCGGATCAGTGGTACATACAAGACGCCAAGGGATACGAAGACACTGGTGAAGTAGCTACAAGCTGGTCAGTTTATCCAACACCGCGACCGAGACGAGACCGAGGTCGAACACTCACAGTAACGGCTTCCCGACCAGGCCATGGATTGAGGCAGCTCGCCCGTTGCGGGGAGACATGATGGCGGCGAGAACCCGTTCAATACGGGAGATGCGTCGGGGTGGGGGATTCGGAATGGGGATCTTTTCAAGGTTGAAGTGGGAGTGGGAGGCGGAGGTTGAGTGGGGATGTTGTTGATCGTCGTCAAGCTGTGAATGTGAGGGAAAGTGGACCCGTTTCGGTTGGTTCCGACCACGATGACCCCAAACCAAAAGCTCACGATCCACGGACTTGCGAGGATCTAGCGGATCCTCGTGAGCCAGTTGCTCGGCGAGATCGCCGGTATCTGACCAGACGGAGAGATCGGATGATGAGCGACGACTGCCTTTTTCACTGGCGGTTTCTTCTAAGGCGGTAATGGAGGGGGAATTGGGGAGAGAGCGGAGGGGAATGGCGGGGATATTGGAGAAGGAATGTTGGCGGTATTGCAGGGCTAAACCCTCGGATGATCCTGAGAATCTCTGAATCCAAATCTGATCCGTTCCTCCTAAGCCGATCTCACCGAGGCAGGGGACAGAAACCCAAAAAGGTTGCCTTGCCACGACCTCCCTCTCTGGGGTAAGCTCAAGTTCCAACTAGGGAGCGCCACGCAGGCGGCAGGGTCACCACAAGGGAAAGGGGGCCCTAGAGAGAGTCACACAGCACGATCGACGTGGTATGACGGAGTGGAGTTCTGGTTGGATGTGATGACAGGGCTAAAGTGGATGGTGGTCAGGTGGACATGGACGAGCGGAGGTTGGGGTTGAGGTTGACAAATAGGGGGGCGATGAGTTGGAGGACCAAGATGAGAGGTGGGTGTGTAATGTACAGAGAAAGGATGTATTTAACAAGGTCCAGGTATATACGAGGAGAAGAAGGAGATGAAGAAGATGAAGGAGGAAAGAAGTTGAGGTTGAATTCAAGAGGCAGCCGCAGGGGGAAATACGGGGGGGGGCCACAGTTAGCCACTGCCCACTGTCAGATCCGGCGATCCACAAGGGGAATTGTGGGGAGATCCACTTGACAGCTAGAACAGTAGTGGTAGGACAGTAGTAGACTGGAGAATGTATTCTGTATTCTGAACCGGCGATATTATCTTTACTTCATAGAACGGGTGGTGCAATACTATACTACTCCATCTGCTACTCTGCCACATAACCAACTAATCCATTCCAAATATCTATAGGGTATCTTCAATGCAAACCACCAGGTCCAAAGTACTGTACAAATCCTCTATCCAAACAATACATAGCAAACACCCCCCCGCTAATTCAAGAGAATATCATACCCATCACTCCGAATATGCACCGCATCATCCAAACTCGCATACCGCCTCCTAACCAATTCAAAAATAATCAACCCAGCACTCGTACTAGGAACCTGCCGAATCGCCGTCGAAAAAAACCCCCGGAAAAGCCACCTCCGCCATCCACCCGCACGTGCAGCCTTCCGCGCACACCGTTTATACGTCTCCTGGTACGCGTGGTAATAGAGCCGCATCATCTGCCGCCTCGACGGGTCCAGACTAGCCTGATGATCCAAATACTCCAATCGGCCCAGATGCAGGTCCTGAATTACCCCGAGCGGGTGCTGAATGACCTGCTGTGCGACTGACGCCGTCACGCCGGCTAGTAAGAGGAATCCCGGTTCCAGTGCGTAGTGCGGTTTGATCACGGGGACACCCCGGTCACTGGCAGATCGGGATTCGGAATCGGAAAAGGGGATCCTTTCGATGTGTTCCGGGTGTAGGGCTCCGTAGTACCATGTTACGAATGAGTAGTAGGATTGTGACTTGACGTATTCGAATGTGGAAAAGAACACGGCGTAACCGAATGAGTCTCGTAAGAATGAGAGGCTCCATCCAGCGAATATTCCTCCGAGTCCGATTTGCTTGAGCTTGTGGTGGCCGTAGTGCCACATGCTTCGGTATTGGCCTTCTAGGAGGTCACTGGTTTGCATCCGGACTTGGAGGGCGTCTAGAGGTGCGGCGACGATCGATTGGATGGTGCCGGCTGTGAATCCGGCGGCGAAGGTTGAGGAGGGAGGGGCTGGAGGCCAAACGCGTTTGGCGCCTTGTCGGACAGGTTCGTGAAGGGATCCTAGGACTTGGAGATAGGATGTGTATAGGACGGCACCGACACTATTGACTCGGGCAAAGTGTTAGAATTTGCTGCCGGAAGAAACAAAAAGGAATACTACTATTTCCTGCTGTAAGATTTTGTACTCACCCTGCATTCGCCATCAAAGGAGGCAAAACTTGATTGGGAATAAACTGCCATCCATACGTTTTGACCGCATGAATCAACAACCCAGGTGTCGTCGTATGAATCGACCATTTACCATCCGCAACCCGCGGATTCACAGCCCGTGCAAGCGCCATATAATCCACTCTCGCCCGAAAGAAAGCCTTAATCGGAGCTCGGAAGTAAAAGGCGACAAACTGGGCGCTGAGGGCACGAACACCAGCCGCGGAGGCACCAGTAGCGGCATCATTGCGCGGTTTTCGTGGTTGTTTGCGAGGTATTGAGATCAAGTCATCTCCGAGGATGGGGAATAGTTCTGCTGGCCCTATACAGAGAGAGATAAAATCGAATTAGTGACCATATTATGTTTTTTGAGCATATAAAGCCGTGCCGACGTGGAGCGGAGAGGAGGGCGGAGATCAAGCTGAGCGGAACTTACTCTGCGTTTCCCGTCGATGGTGGTAGTGCTGGGATCAGAGTCGACAGCTTTACTAGTATCCTGCCATGAGCCCGTGCTGTGCGAGTCCGCAACTTGGGAGTTCTGCCCGTGCGGAAGGACCATTTGCTTCCTCGTCGAGAGACGGACTCGAAAAGCGAAGCCGAAGTCCCGACCCGATCGGGATTATATACGGTCACGTGGACTGGACAGCCTGACATGCATCAAGGCTATATAGAAACTATTTAGCTTGGGATATACTATAACATGAAAGGAATCAGGTTACGTACTTTTGATTCCTAGATATATAATAAGAGCTATATGTAGGATAAGTAAGTTAAGGTACAATAATTGTACTTAGGAATTTAGGCTATATAAGCACTTCTAGGATATACTCAGACCCTGAATCTGAGCTCTAGAATAGTCTAATCTTGATTCTGATTGGCTCTGTGGCTTAGGGGTAAAGCGTCTGCCTCCTAAAAGAAATTACCTGCTTGGGAAATTATTGGCAAGCAGAAGATCGGGCGTTCGATCCGCCCCAGAGTCGCTTTTGTTAAGTTGTTTTTTTTTCTTGATCTTTCACGGATCATTTTGAAAATGCCGTGGTTGACGGGATTCCGCCTTGGAATTGGGACCATCAAAACTGACCGCCCTGGGACTCGCGAAATCAAAATCCTATTGCATAAACATACAAAATCCCCTCGAGTTACTTATGGTGTAGATTTTTTTTTAAAATGTACAGGCAACATTTGAATAATGAATTATGCACTTTCAGTAACTTTAAGATGACTCCCCCCCCTTCGATCTCCATTCTAAGTCCATACTGCCACTTTACCTATAGTCGTACCTTACAGTCCTAGACCTTACATTAAGGCTTTGGCGTAGTCGATAAGATAACCAGGACAAACCTTAATCCGAGATAATATTTCGTCGCATCCGGGGAACATTAAACACCAAGCAAATACTCATTACCTTTTCTTTTCTTTCGATTTATTTTTTCTTTCGCCCCCACAGCAAACACACAATCGCAATATGCGCACCACCCCAAATGTCATCGTTACCGGCACCCCGGGCGTCGGCAAAACCGTTCACTGCGAGCAATTAGCGCAGGATATCGGCTTGAAGCACCTATCCGTCAACCAGGTTGCTAAGGAGCGCGATTGCTACGAGTCATATGATGAGGAGCGTAAGAGTTGGGTTGTTGATGAGGATAAGGTATGGCTTTTTGTCCCTTTCTCCCTTTGGCCATGGCCATGGTCAAGGTAGTCGTGTTGCGGCTTTTTTTTTCTTTGCTTTCTTCACCCCCACTTTGGTGGTGGCGGGGTTGCGATTCCTGTGAACGATTATAAAAGATTGAGGAAGGCAGTGGGCTAATGGTTATTTTCGGGAATAGCTACTCGATGCTATTGAAGATGAGGTGCTTCAGGGTGGTTACTTGATTGATTGGCACGCTTGCGACATGTTTCCCAAGTCCTGGATTGATCTTGTTGTTGTTATCCGCTGTCCCGATACAACTGTGCTCTATGATCGTCTTTCTTCTCGGTAATAATCCCCGTTCCTTTCCTTTCCTTTCCCTATCCTTCCATTGTTCTTTGTGCGCTGCGCTGCGTACGATCAGCATGTATGACGCAGCTTAGGCTAACCAACTTTCATTTACAGAGGCTACCACGAAGAAAAACTACAAGAGAACCTAGACGCCGAGATCTTTGGCGTTCTCCTCGAAGAAGCGCGTGAATCCTACGATGAAGAGATCGTGGTGGAACTGAATAGTGAGAAGGATGGCGATGTCGAGAGCAATTGCAGCCGTATCTCGGATTGGGTCGATTCTTGGAAGAAACAACATGCCGAGGGAGAGGAGGCGGAGTAATTGGGAGTTGAATGTGAATGCTACTGCATACATACATACACAATCGGTGCTTTGTATGGTGGAGTTTTAGTCCTTGGATTTTGATTTGGATCTTGTTTCTTCGTCTTCGTCTATGATCATCTTGATTTCGCTTTGGTCTTTCGATTGGTCTTTCTATATACCCATACCAATATCATACCAAATGCCCATACTCATACTCATCATAATCATGCTGTTCCCTTACTGCTGGCCCTCTGCCAACCACTTCTGGAACTTAACCAGAGCCTTGTACCGGTGCGAGATCTTGTTCTGCTTATGTTTTAGCATAACTTGTCTCGGAAGATTGGGGGGCCACCTTCAAGTTTTCTCTCTTTCTTCACTTACCTTGGCTTCCTTGTCCATCTCCGCATATGTCTGACCTTCATATTCGAAAATTGGGTCCCAGCCTTAAACTTTCGTTAGTAATACTAGATTTAAGAAAGACTAACATGCATCCATGCATTGAGGATGGGGAATGGGGGATGGACTCACCAAAGTTAGTCGGGCCACGAGGACGAACGATTTTGCCCTGTTTATACCGTTAGAACTTTGAAATCAAAATGACCCAAGAGGAATAGTCATAGTCATAGTCATAGTCATCTCATCTCAATACTCACAACAGTCCGACCTTGGAAAATAATAGGTTCCTCTCCAGGTCCGCGGCAGAAAGCAAAGGTGCAGACAGCCTCAGCACCACGGTCCTCAAAGCCATCGAGCATTTTGTTCAAACCTTCATGACCAAGGGATTCCATGAAAGATTTACTTTGCAGAACGGAAATATTAGTATCTAGTAACTCAACTCAACTCGAAGGTACAACAGCAAGAGCAAGAGCAAGACATAAACAACGAAATTAACTCACATATAAGGACCCGGCAAGCCCTTAAGAGCATGGAATTCCAAAGCAGTATCCTCAGTCAACGCAGGCCCATTGATCTAGACCAAAAGGAAACATGAGTCTAGTTTCTTTTCCTTTTCTTTTTCTTTCCCCAAATATAGATATTCAGGGCCAGGCAGGACAGGGGGTAATTACCGCTTCAGCAGCGCGCTTCGCCTTTTCTTTAGCGATTTCCTCGATCGTGCCTTGGATCTCAGGAACGTCCACTTCTTGGTTATCGACTTCGATCACGCTGCCGAGGATAGCGCGGACCTCGGTCAGCTTGTTCTTGTTGCCGGTGATGAAGTTGACCTTTGTTAGAGTCATGATGGGCTGTTGTGTTGAATGTGAAGGAAAGAGTAGGGTAGGGTTTGAGTTTGAGTTGCGGCGGGATGGGATGCTCCCCACTCCACTCCCACTCCGCCGCTTGATTTTGGCTCCCCCGCGACGTGGACACCGCTTGCCGGCTGCGCTACTACAATTTTAACCAAATCAAATACGAAATTTCAGTTTCAATTTCACAGAGAAAAGGTAGGAAAGAGAAAAAAAATCATAATTCGCATAAAAGGCGGAATCATATGCATCTCTATGTATCAATTGAAAATCAAACCGGTCCTGGTCCACCCCGGGTAAGGTCCTGGGTGTAGATAGTAAGGTCATGGTGAGATGTTCACAGGTCGTAATCCGTAGCTCACAAAGGAAAATCCAAATCCAACTCTAATGTACAACTAAATCACTCCTCCAACACCCCGTTCTCTATCTCCAGTTTCTCCTGTTGCGCCATAGCTTGGGCCGAGACAATCTCGGCCAATCGCTTCAATCGCGGGGTTTGGAGCCCTGTGTTAAAAATCGAGTCAGTAATCAGTTCGCAGTTGCGGGTGTTTGGGTCAACATACAGGATGGTGTGTAAGTCTCCAGAGCCGTGATGACTCTGGGCTCGGCGATCTCGTAAGGACCGCTATCCTCCATATCGACCGGAGTCAAGAGGAGCACATCACTCTTCTCTGTGACGCGGGAGGCGACGGCCTTCATGATCTCGCCGTTGATGGGCTGTTCGTAGTCTGCGACGAGGTACTGGTTCAGGAGCTTCTGGATTTGGTTGGGCGACAGCCTAGAAGATATTGTCAGTGCGATGCTCAAGATGGGGCGCGGTGGGGTATGCTTACATCCAGCAGATATCTTGAATGATCTCAATATCATTCAAGGTAGCTTTCTTCAGCTGAAGAAGCTTCGTTGCTTGCTGTTAGAATGGTTAGCATATGATTCTCGAACGTTATGAAGGTAGGGGGAGTGTCCTACCATCAAGTGCTCTAGCTGCAGCGTTCCCAAGGGCATGTCATGGCTCTTGCACCACTCCTCAATTCGGGTGATGTTGTAGTTGATTTGCAAGCCACGCTTCCATGACAAGAAGTTGCGGCGCATGAGTAAGTCGTTAAATGCGGTCACGCCAACCAGACGCAATAGCTCGGTCATGGTCTGTGTGACGATAGTGTCCTCCAGGTAAAACGCCTTCATCGCCCGGTAGACACCATTCAGCAGGCTGAGGAGGTTGTCCATGCTGTAGGCGGGGTTGCTGTTGGAGGGAAGCAATTTTCCAAGGAAACGGTTCGTTTCGCTCGTCACAAAGCCAGGGAGGGACTGCGACTCAATGATGGCCGGAACAATCATCTTGTACAGCTTCTTCTTCAACACCTTCATCCAGGTGTGATAGATGTTGAACTCCAAGCTCTCCAGATCGTGCTTAACGATCTCCAGCAGACGATCGTACTCATAGTTGTCGGTCTTCTGGGCTTCATACCAATCCTCGGCCAAGAAGACGAAAGACAGCATCTCGTGAACGTTCGAGAGCCAGAAGGCGCCGGGGTTGACCGCATCCTCTCCTTCGTGTTGCATGACCTCCTGTTGGATGGACTGCATCACATTGGCTAAGAAGCGCTCGGATTCCTTGACGAACCCGTTGTTCCACATCTCCGAGGTAACGAGGTTGATCAAGTAGGCAGGGAAGAGAACCTCCTTCTCTGTCGGGGGCGGGTTTGAGCTTGGGAGAGGGATCTTGAGGTTGCGGATCAAGCCCATTGCAACCTCCTCGTTGAGGTCTTCCTCCTCGGACAACAAGTTCTCGAGCTCTACCTCGACCGAGTCCAGACCAGGCGAGGTGGCGGCGGCATTGCGAGCAGCACCAGGACCGGTGACAGCCATCGAGACAGGTCGCGGGTTGTAAGCTCCACTGAACCGGTCCGAACCAACCTTCTCCGCGCCAGCGCTCCGCCTCTGCGGCTTGGGCTTCTTCGATGATACAAGGTTGATCAAACCGGCGGCAGGAGGAGGGACAGCAGTGCCATGTGCCGCATCGCCGTTGACGCCATTGACAGGCATCGTTCGCTTGGCAACATCCAACTCCTCTTCGAGCTGGGAAACACGGACACGGAGACCAGTTTTCTCCTCCTCGTGTTCCGCATTGACTAGCTTGAGGCTGTCCAGCTGCTCCTCAGCTGCGCGAAGGGCGGTGCTGGTTTTCTCCCACTCCACTTCGAGGCGCTTGATGTTGTCCAGGTTCTCGGCGTGGGTGGTCTGCAACTTAGCGATTTCCGTTTCCAACCGAACAATGTTGTGATCAGCCTGGTTCTTCTCTGACAGGAGGGTCTTCTTGTCAGCCTCGCCTGATTTACTTGCTGATCGGAATTCATTCAATTGCTTATCACGGATCTGTAGCTTCGAGACCAGCGAGTCATTTTGTGCGCTCAACAAGTCTTTCTGCTCCTTCAGGTCTGTGTTGCTTGAAAGCAACTTTCTGACTTGTTCACCCAGGTTGACGGTGATCAGCTTGAGATCGCGTGTATCTTCACGCATCTTCTTGTAATCCTTTCTGGCCTGTTTACCTCGCCAAAGGGACTGGGCAACAACAACCTTCTGGCGGTACTCTCGCCACGCCCGCAATTGGCGCCAAGAGCGGAAAGAACGCTGGATCACCTTAGCAGCATTGCCATTGATGGAGTCCATGATGTTGCGACGGCAGAGGAAACCCTTTGCAACAGCTTCGAACATGATAAAGTTCTTCCGGACCTGGTTGTACCATTTGCGGTCCTTGGAACCACGCCAGACCCTCTGGATATCGGTCGCAGCCTTGGTCCGGCGGATCTCCTGGGCCCGCTGTCTTGCGAGGAACCCACGAACCAAAGCCTGGGTGTAAAGGATCGATTCGCGAGCTTCGAGGTAGCGGCGGCGGTAGTACTTGCATCGCAGGTTCTTTTGGATCATAATCGCACACTCATTCAGTCGGGATGTGCGCAGGTTCTCCAGGAACGCCAGCATACCAGCTCGGAAGAAAATCTTGGTCAAACCCAACTGGTACTTGTCGTCCTTCTTGGAAGTGGCATCGCCCAGAGCCTTCTGCAAGATAGCATGGCACATGTCGCGGATCTCCGACGTCCATTGGGACGAATGGCAAAGCATGTAGTAGCGGATCGCGAACTCTTCATACGTCCAGCGAGTAGGGTAGCCAGCAGTACTAATTCTGACTGTTTCCAAAACACCACATGCTCTCAACTGACTCAAGACCATCGGGCCCTCGAACTTCCAGGCCTCCTTGGCCTCGTTGGGCTTGATACAGCGGATGTAGTGTACCTCGGTGGAGTTGATGGTACCCATGAGTTCAATCAAGGATGACTTGAAAATTCCTCCAAGTGTGGGTTTGCGGTTGACAGCAACGCCGATACGGCGGCCAGGGGCGGCTGCGACAGGTTTGGAGGGAGTAGAAGACGAGTCCTTCTCCCGAACCGAGGTAGCTGTCTCAATGATTTCCTTGATGAAATCATTCGCGGAGTTACGCAACACTGCCATGTGCTCATCCGGGACGGTATCACGGTTCTTCTCCAGGAAACCGTCGGATTCATAGGTCACGTCAACTGCATAATGGCAGACGGTGAACGCAGATTTACCAAATCGAGGCTTCTTGTAGAACTTCTCCTTGTCGGCTGCAAAGTTGTGGTGTAGCTTCGTGACAAACTGTTCATCAGATCCCATGGGAAGGCGGGATTCCTCGTCCAAAAGAGCCAAGATTCCAAGCTTGCCCTCGATCAAATTGATACAGGGTTGGTTGTCGGAGAAGTCAATAAAAGTCCAATCAATTTCTTCCCGAACATATTCCTCCTGTTCAAGTTTGAACACGTGCTGGTTAAACTCCTGCTGGAGCTTCTCGTTTGCATAGTTGATGCAGAACTGTTCGAACGAATTCTTGGCGAAGTGCTCAAAACCGTAGATATCCAAAACACCAATGAACGTCACCACCTTGTTGATAACCTCTTCAGTTGCGAGACCGCGGTTGATCTTGTCCACCAGCCAATCGAAGAGGCTCGAGTAGATGAACTTGGCAACGGAGTCTCTAACCACGATTGCCTGTTGCTGGGTAAGGTTGGAGGTAATCTTCTCACCACGGGTGATAAGTTGCTTCTTGACAATCCATTTCGCGAACTCATTGACATCAATGCCCAGCATTTCACAAGCTCGGACGAGAGAAGGCTCTGAAGCAGACAACTGAGAGTCGGTACGGGTCGCAGTGATCTTCACGTTACCTAGGTGCAAAAGGGCTGCCAGCACACGGAAGATCTCAGTTTGGTTCTCAGTCGGAACACCAATTGTGGCCAGGGATTTCCTAGTCGCATCAAACTCGGCCTTGTCATCGACACCGTCGATGATGGGAGTGCCACCCTGGTTGAGGTATTCGAACTCTTCCACGGGCAAGAGACCCAGCTCCTGCCTCTCCTCATCGGATGCACCAGCCACAAGCTGATAGAAAATGTGGTAGTTGCGCTCCTTCAGAGGCTGGAATACCAGTCTCGATCTCTCCAACAGGTAGGTTCTAATCTTCGCACCAATGATGTTCGTCTTATCATCAAACATAATCTCGATGTATTTACCGAATCGGGAGGAGTTGTCGTTACGGGTCGTCTTAGCGTTACCGAAGGCTTCCATGACCGGGTTGGTGGCCAGGATTTGCTCTTCTGTCGCACTGATCGCACCAGCTGAGCTGGAGCTGTATTTGCCAGGCTTCTCGGCAGACTCGCGAGTCGCAAAGTAACGCATGATGTATTTGGCGCTCACAGTTTTACCAGCACCGGATTCACCAGAGACCACGATCGTTTGGTTCTTTCCATCCCGGAGCATGTCCCTGCACAGTCACATGTAAGCCTAAGTAGTTCCAGTAGAAAGATTTCGAGGGTGGTGGTTCCTTACGCGAAAGCTTCTTCGGCGATTGCGAACAGATGGGGTGCCTGCGAGGCACGTTGCTTCCCGGCATAAACCTGCACCATTTGCGGTACATACAACGAATCCACTCTGGCGAATGGGTTCGTCGCAATCAGGACAATACCACTGTATGTGTAAATCTCCTTCTGTGCGTATCGGAGCTTGATGGCCTGGAGGACTGCGGGGGTGTCAGTTGGTGGTCCAAAGGCAACATTTTCCGACGAAACAAACCGGCTGGCTCATTCAGATGCGACAAGTTTGTAAGATCCTCGCTCGCTTCGAGCATCGCAGGATTCATGAGCGGGGGAAGGTTTGGATTGTTGTCGACCTGGAGTTCGGCCTGTGTTGTGTCCACTGTTTTCGTCTACTCCGTAACAAAAGACCAGTCAGCTCAATGTTCAACAACGCTCATGGTCAACGTCAAGAGCAGGGAAAAACCACTCTCGCGATGTTGATAACGCACCTCTCCGTTCTCCAGCTCGAAAATCAGCTGCACTTTATCTCCATCCACAAGTTTATCCTTGACCTCTGAGGCCAGCCAGCCCTCCGTGGGGTCAGGCTGCCAGGCCCTCGTTCCGACCTCGTAGATATGCGCCATGGCTTCCACGTCGAGTGGTGTTGGTGTCGGATGCAATCAAAACAAAAAGAGAGGGTGGAAGGTGGTGGGAGGTGGTTGGGGAAGATGCGAATAAGTCTAAAGTGAATTGGGGTGGGTATTGTATCGGGGAAACCGGGGGCGACCAAAAAGGGTAAATCAATCACGGAGAAGTCCAAAGACAAGGAGTCTCACGGGAACCCCTCATCGGCTCATTGTCCGATTAAATGAAATGAAACAAGGAAAAGAAGTAGACGTTAAGGTGATGGGGAGAGATGTAAAAATCACCCTTGACAGCTGGCCATTTAGCGAGTGGAAGCCCCTGAAGGGAGCTTCGGGACTAACTGGGGGTTGCCGCGCCACACCCCCACAGTGTCACCGCCTTAGACTAAACGCATGTACGGAGTACATGTGTATACATGGAGTACATAGAGTACACAGGTACGGAGTATGTGTATACACATGTACACTCCTTATACAAGTCTATTTGTATGCATAATATATGTAATTATTATCAGATAGTTCTACCGTGTTCATTCGAGATTCTAGAGCCCTACCGCGTTCTATCACCTGGCCAACCTGGTAGCTGCAGGTGGATTACTCACTGATTATGCCGATTGATTGAGAGATATTAGGTAGACAGGGAACAGATCACGCAGTGCAAGGGAGAAAAAGGCATCAGTGGGGAGAAAAAAAAGGAAACATAGCAATAACATCAATCACGAAGTCCATGAAGCATTCAGCATCAGTATCAGCATCAGCATCGAGCATCGCCGCGGGGCTGCTTTTCTTTTTGTCATTTCTAGTTTTGCTTGCACTCGGCCGCCTCCTTCTTGGGCTTGGAAGTGCCATCCTAGATATCAAACGTTAGCGGTGATCTCAAGAAGCGTCTGCTCGCCAGTCACCAGTCACCAGTCCAGTAATACATACCTCGTCATCTGAGTCGTCCTCCACGGAAGCGGATCCACGCTCGTCCTCATCATCTTCATCATCTTCATCATCATCCTCATCCTCATCATCCTCGTCATCGAACTCCTCGGGGTCCATGTCCTCGCCCAGCTCCTCGAATTGAAGAGCCTCTCCGGTGAACCAGTCAATGGCGCGGGGGATCAGCTTCTCCTTAATGTCCTCGCCCAGCTGGTAGTCCAGCTCGAGGCGCTCTTCGATGTCGCTGGCGGACGGACGCATCATCGTCCTCGTCGGTGGGGGGTTGAGGTGGGGAAAAGAAGTTGAAGAAAGATTCGGTGGGCACGCTGATCTTGACAACGCGGGTCTGCTTGGTGTCTGTGAGGTGGGGGAAATGGGTTAGCTTCAGTTCTGGAACATAGAAGAAGAGTTCCACCAGTCATATCAGGCAGAAGAAAGCACAAAGTTCAACATACTCTTGTTACGCTGCTTCTTGCTCTCAAGGCGGAGAGTCAGGTCCTTCTCCTCCTTCCAGTCAATCTTAGAGCCCTCGGCGTGGTCATAAATGAAGTCACCACCGTATCCGCTCTCATCCTTGTAGTAGTAGGTCTTGGTGATGGTCTTGTTGGTGAAGAACTCGTTCTCGGCGAACTCGAAGATCAAACGGAATCCGGGGCAGTCGAGGTACTCCATGCGAATGTCGGTGAGTTGCTTGAGAGCCTCCTCATCGCGGTCGGTGATCATCTCGGCGAGTGAGACCTGGTTCTTCATGGCAGACAACCAGAACTCGGGGATACCAGCAGCGGGGGACTCGGACTCATCCTCCTGCTCCTTCTTCTCGGTGTCCTTGGTCTCATCTTCCTCGTCCTCCTCCTCATCTTCCTTGCCCTCCTCGACTTCCTTCTCGGTAGGCTCGGCGCTACCGTTGATGATTGTGGAACGGCGCTCGTACAGGGGGGTGAACTTGGCGAAATACTTCTTCTCGAGCTCGAGGACCTCCTCTTGGAACTGAGCCTCAAGCTTAGAGTGCTCCTTTTGGATACCCTTCAGACCAGCGACACGGCGGCGGACAACAGGGGGGAGAGATTCGATGTAACCAGATGAACGGCCAACGAGTTGGCCCAGCTTACCCTGGATCATGGAGACCAGAGCTGGGTTACGGGCAAACAGGGACGCGGCAGCCGCGGTGTCCAGGGTCTCTGTAGAGACTAGCGGTCAGAACAACGACGCGGGGGTGAGCGGGGGAGGGGGTATATGTGAAGATAAACACTCACCTTCCTTGATGCTGGACACGCCGGGCTGTTGAGCGTGAGAGGAGATGGGGGCATTGTTAGCCGGTGTGTTTTGCGGGGTCCTATTTTTTTTTCTTCGGGTCAGTGTTTTCCTGAGATGATAAGCGGGTCGGAGGGGAAGGGTGTGATAAAGAAAATCCTTACGGTGCGACCGGGAAGTCCGCCTTCTTATTCCTGATGGGTTCAGACATAGTGAACGATGGTGAAGGGGAGGGGGAATGAGAGAGGGGGAGGAGAGAAAAGGGGAAAGGGGGGGGAGGTGGATGAGAGGGGAAGAGTTTGATACGCCCTTATGAGTCTGGAAGGGCAAAAGAGATCCTAATGTGGTGGGAATCCCCTTAGCGCCGGTGCCCGGAGGGGGCTTGGCGGGAACGCCTGGTTGAGTGCAAAACTCCTCCCAACAAGATTTACCATACACTATTTTACCCTTGACCTTACCCCCTCTTTTGATTATCAAGTCATTTACTTTTGATGACCACTTTCCTATTGACAAATAAATTCTAATCAATCTATATGTACCTTCATTTTTTAATTATGCTCGAGGCTACACGCCAACGCCACCCGGTCGTAGGCTAGCAGAGGGTCTGGTTCCATCGATTTGCACCAGTGGCCAAAATACTCGTCACCACGTTAAATTTAGAAACACCCGTCTAGAGAAGGTAGTATTCTTTGCATAGTCAGTTCAAAGTAGAATACGTAGGGAAATTGCTTAGGATATCTTGAGTCTTGATTGGATCGGGGTATAGATCCAATCGTTTTTAGCAGATGGAGACACTAAGCTATTTTAGAATATTGAGGACCTACATAGTAGAGGGTAGATCGTACGAAGATTGAATATATATATCTACCGTACGGTACCGTGACCCGTACTAGTACCAACTACCTAGGTACTATGAGGATGCGGAGGCAGCGAGTATTACTAAAATTGAGCAATCAACTATATACAATATGATTTAGAACAGTCTCGAAATTAGCACCAATAGCATCTAGTCACTACTCAATGATTACTACTTCTGATACCCCCAATCCTTGGCAGATCGATCGGCGTGTCTGACATCCTCCGCCTAGTTTCACCAGTCGGGGAGGGCCCTTCAGGCATGGGAAATCTGCCACTATCTCCACGTGACCGGCTATCAAGTGAGGTCGCCGATCGCCCCTCGCGACAAGTTCAGCGCTCCGCGGTAAGACTCCTCCCTATATTGCTTCTTCGCTATACTGGGTATCATGAGTTCAATGGAGGCTTCCTGTACCTAGTAATCACCTCCGCTCAACCCACTGTCAGGCCCTTGACCACCCCCGCCCGGTGGATCAAATCTTCCACCTCAAATTGAAGATCTGGGATCGAACCCCAGACCCTTCTTCACTATGGGCAGTCGACCGGATTTCCCCCCGGATCTCGGTCCCATGGATCTTTCCATGCGACGATCGAGTCTCCGGCGTGACTCGCTGCGCAGCAGGTATCTCATCCGCTCAGCTCCATTCTATAACCCTCACTAATCAACTCATAGCGTGAGTGTGATATCGGATGTGGAGATGGCTCGGAACGAGGTACGTTTAAGCTGTGGCCCCTAGCAATTGTTGAGCTCCATTGACCCGCGATTACGATGAAATAGGTGTTCGATGGTCCCATTTCGGAGAGCATCCCGTCTAGTGTCGTCTCTTTTATGCACCGTCGAAACCGCGCCGACTCGAACGTGAGCTTCACATATTTCCAGGACGAGGAAGATTTTGCCGAATGGTCCAACGAAGATGCAATCGACGAGGGTAGCGATATCGAAGAATCATCCATGCATGGTGTTGAAGAGCCCGATCTCGAGTCTCACCGAGGATCTTTCGTTTCCAAGAGATTGTCTCGGGACTCGGCTGAGCACCCGCTCCTGTCGCGTATCCTATCCGCGAGCTCATATGGTCGAGACCGACGCTCGGGCAGCAGACTTAACCAAAAAGTATATATCACATCGGAAGACTTGACAGCAGTCTTCGCGGGATTCTCCACCAGCAAGGCTGGCTTCGCTCTCTACATCGCTTTGTGTATACTGACTGGTGGTCTTGCGTACTTGTTGTTGCGCTGGTTCCCACGATGGCGGGTCAGGATGATTGGAAAGGCTACTCCCTTGGCAAAATGCGAGTGGATTGCAATTGAAGTACGGCATTATCAACACCTACCCTTTCATCGTCCGAGTTCACATCGACTGACATACAACAGGATCAATGGAACCAATTTACCGTTCATAGTATAGACAGCGAATCCTACGGACGTCCGCTATCCACGGTCTTCATGAATAACTCGGGCCTTGTTTACGATGAAGACCTTGACCCTACGATTGGGTCCCTGCGCTACGTGGATTATAGATATCTTCGATTCTTCTATCATCCTATCGAAGACAAATTCTCCTTGATCAATGGCTGGAAAGATCACTCCTGGACTAGTGCGAAGGCTATGCGAGGTGGCCTTGATGCGGATGAGCGTGACAGCAGGGAACAGATCTTTGGAAAGAACAACATCAATATCCAGCAGAAGAATATTCCACAGCTACTGATGGACGAGGTGAGCAGAATCCACCTCCAGAACCGGCGGGGATGCCTACTGACATCTATAGGCGTTTCATCCGTTCTATATGTTCCAGGTGGCTAGTCTACTCCTTTGGTCGATGGACGAGTACTACTATTATGCTGTCTGTATTTTCCTCATTTCCGTGTTCAGTATTGCAACTACTGTGTTGGAGACGAGATCGGTAAGTTTCAGCCTTCTCAGGTTTTGAACAGGATTTTAATCGTCTCCAGACCATGAAGCGACTAAGAGAGATATCTCTTTTTGAATGCGACCTTCGCGTGTTAAGAAACGGATTTTGTAAGTTACTCATCTGCCAGGCATTTTGCTATTAGCATATTTACTGACCCCCACAGGGCGCTCGGTGTCTTCCCAGGATCTCGTCCCCGGCGACGTCTTTGAATTTTCCGATCCTTCTCTCAGCTTGGTCCCGTGTGATTGCATTCTGCTATCCGGAGACACCATTGTGAACGAGAGCATGTTGACTGGTCTGTACACATATTGCGAATTATCTTCAAACAATATACTGATGCAGAGATAGGCGAATCCGTCCCCGTGTCCAAGGTCCCATTCACCGACGAAGCTCTCGGGTATCTGGACCTCAGCGCCCCCTCCGTGGACCCCCATATCGCCAAACACTTCCTTTTCAGCGGTACGAAAATTATCAGAGCCAGACGGCCGCAGAACGTGGACGATGATGAGGCCGTTGCGCTGGCTGTCGTTGCAAGGACTGGATTTGCGACTACAAAGGGCGCATTGGTTCGCTCGATGCTTTTCCCTAAGCCAGATGGCTTCAAGTTCTACCGCGATTCTTTCCGTTACATTGCCGTCATGGGGATCGTCGCCCTGGTCGGTTTCATTGCCTCGTTCATCAACTTTATCCGGCTCGGTCTTGCCTGGCACCTTATCGTTGTCCGAGCACTCGATCTGATTACTATCGTCGTCCCACCAGCTTTACCAGCGACTCTTACTATTGGCACGAATTTTGCACTCTCACGGCTGAAGAAGCAGAACATCTTTTGTATTAGTCCCCAGAAAGTCAACGTGGGCGGAAAGCTAGACATTGTCTGTTTTGACAAAACCGGAACCCTCACCGAAGACGGCTTGGATGTTCTGGGTGGAAGAATAGTCTGCGGCAGTCACAAATTCTCCGAGCTACTTTCCGAAACAACTGCTGGTGTTTTTCTCACCTCATCGTCTGAAAACTCAGAATATGATCTTGAGAAGCAGCAAAAGATGATTTACACCATGGCGACCTGCCATTCTCTAAGAGTTGTGGACGACGAACTGCTTGGTGACCCACTTGATGTCAAGATGTTCCAGTTTACTGGTTGGTCATACGAAGAGGGTGGCAGTAGCTCTTCAGAGCAGACCGGTGCCCATTTTGACACCATTAGCCCTTCTGTTGCGCGGCCGCCTTCGACCCACGTGGGCCAAATCCAGCCTCATGGACCGAATGTAAGTTCCCTATCAGATCAAGTCTGAGCTTTCATTAATTTATCCCATTGCAGATTCCCGTCGAGCTTGGAGTTCTGCGCAATTTCGAGTTCGCCTCTCATCTTCGCCGTGCCAGTGTTGTCGTTCGACAATTCGGAGATAACGGCGCGAATTTCTTTGTGAAGGGTGCCCCAGAGAGCATCCGGGACATATGTGTGCCCGAGTCTCTCCCATCCGATTACGATGAACTTTTGAACCATTACACCCACAAAGGTTATCGTGTTATTGCCTGCGCCACTAAATACGAGCGCAAACTGAGCTGGATGAAGGTTCAAAAGTTGTCTCGGGCTGATGTTGAGAGTAACCTTGAGTTTGTTGGATTCATTATTTTCGAGAATAAGCTTAAGCCTACGACTGCTCAAGTTATCTCGGAGTTGAACCAGGCTGGCATTCGCAATGCCATGTGCACGGGCGACAATATTCTAACTGCTATCAGCGTGGCCCGGGAGTGTAAGATGATCGGTGCGAATGAACAGTGTTTCATTCCGCATCTAATTGAAGGTGAGCTTTTGGAACTTGGACCATACCGAATTGTACTAATGGAAGTTGACAGATCCTGGCCTTGGTGACAAAACATCTGTAATCTGGGAGAGTGTCGACGACCCGGATGCTAGATTGGATCCTAGAACACTTTTGGTAGGATTTTCTTCTTTTGTTTTATAAAATGCCACTGCTAACCGATTACAAGCCTTTGGAAAATTCAAATTCAAATGATGTATCTATCCCCGGAAATGGGCTCCAACAACGCAAATATTGCCTCGCTGTGACTGGTGACGTATTCCGGTGGATGATCGATTACGGAAATGAAGATACACTGAGGAGGGTAAGTTTGGACTCTCGCGCCTTGCAGTATTACTTGCTAATTGTAAAACTTGTCTTTAGATCTTGGTCAGCGGGAAGGTTTTCGCTCGAATGTCGCCCGACGAGAAGCATGAACTTGTTGAAAAGCTCCAGTCAATTGACTACTGCTGTGGTTTCTGTGGAGATGGTGCCAATGACTGTGGTGCTTTGAAGGCCGCGGACGTGGGTATCTCGCTTTCGGACGCAGAAGCATCCGTTGCCGCCCCTTTTACTAGCCGGCAATTCGATATTTCCTGCGTGCCAAAGTTGATTCGGTATGTGAAAAACTTTCCAACGACTCGAAGACTAAACTAACCTTTTCAATAGGGAGGGCCGAGCTGCTCTGGTGACGAGCTTCTGTTGTTTCAAGTTCATGAGTCTTTATTCGGCTATTCAATTCTCATCCGTCAGCTTCCTTTATACCTCTGGTTCGAATCTTGGTGATTTCCAGGTATGTTGAGAATTGATACGACACTACATGACCAGGCAAAAAAAAGCTAACCAAATCATACAGTTTTTGTTTATTGATCTGGCTCTCATTATGCCGATAGCGATCTTTAGTAAGTGACACGGCGCCTCGCAAATCGGAATCATATTTACTAACTTCATCCAGTGGGCTGGACTGGGCCTTATCCAACTCTCTCACGGAAGAGACCGACTGCTGATCTGGTGTCACGAAAGGTCTTGACGCCTTTGCTTGGACAAATTTCCCTTGTGGTGTTGGCCCAGCTCATCGTCTTTGCAACCGTCCAGAGACAATCCTGGTATGTTAACCTCTCTTCACGGGTAATTAAGCGCGATTACTAACTATTGTATAGGTATCTACCTCCTCAGCTAGACTTGGAGAAAAGCAACATTGTGAATTCACAGAACACATCACTGTTCTTGTTTTCGTGTTTCCAGTACATTCTCACTAGCATTGTCATGAGTGTTGGCCCACCATTCCGCCAATCAATGACGATGAATGGTAAGCAAAACTCCCTCCCACCGAAGGAATACCTCGCTGACCTTTCATAGCCCCATACTTATGCACGATTATTATCGACGTTCTGATTGGCTGCTACATGCTCTTCCGCCCATCTGAGTGGGTAGCCGACGTGATGCAGCTGACCTATATGTCGGATGGATTCAGAGGCTGGTTGGTGGTCCTGGCACTCAGTATGTTCTTGATGGCTTGGTCCGCGGAGAGTATTGTCTTCCCTCGACTTGCCCGCATGCTCGGCCATATCCGCGCACGGGTGCAACCCGGCTTCCACAAGAAGCGCCGCCAGTACAAAGTCCTCCTGGAGGAGATGCGACTGTACAATCTCTAGATATACATGACAGCCTTGTATCTATTTAGATCTAAAATAGACCTCTGTTACAAAAAACCAAGAATATAGAAGAAGTTTTTCTGTTTTGCGCTCTGATACGATCGCATTGTTCATCTAGAAATGGTATAATACATTTCAACTTCCCTGCCCCGCTAATGGCGAGGGATTTCTCTCAAACGATAAAAAAACAAGTGGTATGGAGCACTCCGGCGACTCCGCGGTTGATTGGGGCTCAATTGCGTTGGGGCCGTCGGTCAAATTTCAGGGTCGGGCACACAGTCTTGATGAGAGTCGTCTAGTGGTCCCAAGGGTGCTTCCAGCCCATGAGGACAGCGCCGTCCTTCTTCGCGCGGTACATCAGCTAGAAAAGCGAGATCGGGTTAGCATATTTCTGAGTCGGAGAAGGAACAGTGAGTCGTACGAAGAACCACATGCTGGCGCCCAATGCCGTGGCAGTGAATCGATACAGCGGTCGGACCGGGTGGATGTGAATGGGGTGGGAGGATTTGCCAGCCATGACTGAGTTCAATTGTGTTTAGCGAGACCGTGTCGAACATTCAAGGGGTTGAATCGAGTAGCACTCACTGTCGGTGGCGATGATTGCTTCACGAGAGGCAGATGCTGTCGTCGGAATCGGAGGAGGACGGCGGGTTGAAGTTCAGAGGTTCGACCACGTGACCGGTGACGGCACGCCGCTTTTTCGAGGTTGCGGCCCTTGCCAGTCGCACGCTAACTCGAGGGCGTCTTGGGCGTTTTTCACTGCTTTCTCTTTGTATCAAAGATAATAGCACCCGTGTTTGATTTCCATTCACTACGAGAGTTCCCAGCCCCCCTTCAAAGCGGCCCTTGAGTGGTCTCCGCCTAGCTGAGCTCTCTCATAACCATAGGACGGCAATCGGCGATGCGAAATCCCGCCGCATGCTGTACTTCTTTCCCTCTTCAAGTTCCTCTTGACCCGTCACTCTTACTTTGATACTTGCTTCCTTCCTAAATATCTCGACCTCAACACTTGAGTCTCACGCGGAAGCTGAGACCGAATTCCTCCGACGCAAACCGCCGCCCTCCTTACCTTTCGCGTATCGGATACCTTTGAATGTCCATCGATAACACTCGAAGAAGGGAATACTCGGACTGAACTCCTACACCAAGCAACGAGCCGTGATACCCTACCCTCGACATTACAGAGGTGGACAGAGCCGACAAAATGGCCGCCAGATCGCTGGAGAGGGACAGCAATGGCCAGCCGCGATTCCCTGGTTGTGGCAGCATCCGTGACTTCGAATTCCTCGGCAAGCTTGGAGAAGGAACCTTTGGGTAGGTATCTGCGGTCATTTTGACTTCACATTAGCTTACCGATTTGTTCAGTGAGGTTTACAAAGCGCGAGCTAAGAAGGACAATTCGCTCGTTGCGCTCAAGAAGATCCTCATGCATCATGAGAAGGAAGGCGTGAGTTTCCATTCATCTGAACATTCGGTTCAAAGGCTAACCACTTCCACTCCCGTTTCAAGTTTCCCATCACTGCAATTCGAGAGATCAAGCTGCTGAAAGCTCTATCCCACAAGAATATCCTGCAACTCAATGAAATGGCTGTTGAACGGAGCAAAGGTGAGCATCATTAGATGCGTGCGTTATGGCTTGACCGAAGCTTTTTTGACACAATTTTAGGCGAGGGACGCAAAAAGCCTAGCATGTACATGGTTATGCCGTACATGGAGCACGATCTCTCTGGACTTTTGGAGAACCCAGCTGTTCAGTTCACGGAGCCCCAGATCAAATGCTACCTGATGCAGCTGCTTGAGGGTCTACGCTATCTGCACGCGGTATGATTTCCCGGCCTATACTCTGGAATATCAATGTCTGACTTCCTTGTAGAACAACATCCTGCACCGAGATATGAAAGGTGTGTAACTATCCAAATTGACATCCGCGGCTTGGCTAATATGACATGAATAGCTGCCAACCTACTCATTAGCAATGGGGGTATACTTCAAATAGCCGATTTTGGATTGGCTCGGCCATACGACGAGCCCCCTCCGCAACCTGGAAAGGGCGGCGGGGAGGCGAAGAGAGAATACACCGCACTAGTCGTCACAAGATGGTACCGACCCCCAGAACTGCTGCTTTCGCTGCGGCGGTACACAACCGCCATCGACCTGTGGGGAGTTGGGTAAGCAATTTTTCTCCATTCTGTATATTCTGTTGCTGATAAGAATAGCTGTGTCTTCGGTGAAATGTTCAAAGGAAAGCCGATCCTTTCTGGAAGCAGCGATCTCAACCAAGCCCAGCTGATTTTCAGCATGGTGGGAACTCCCAATGATGAGAACATGCCCGGCTGGCGCGACCTACCGGGCTGCGAGGGCGTGAAAAACTTCGGCAACAAACGCGGAAACCTCGCTGAGTCCTTCAAGGAGTATGCTGATGGTCCCTTTTCACTTCTAGTGAGTATATTTGATGGCTAACATCTATTAGACTCAACCCCGTTGCCATTTCGCTACTTGGCGAACTTCTCAAGCTCGACTGGAGAAAAAGAATCAACGCCATCGACGCTCTCAAACATCCTTACTTTACTACACCCCCTCTACCCTTACACCCCGGCGAAATCCCTACATTCGCCGACTCACACGAACTCGACCGCAAAAAGTTCAGAGAACAACGTGCCCCAGGGCCTCCAGCACCACCCGTTGGCTCTGCCGATCCCTCCTCCAATGGAGGTTGGGCCAGCTCTGGCTCTCGACCAAATTCACAGAACCCCCGGATCCCGGGTGCAGCCCGAGGAAGGCCCAATGGGCCCGGAGGAGGACCGGGCCAATACCGACGCGGCCCATTCCCACCCTCACAAAGAACGAACGGCCTTCCACCGCGCCCTCCCACTTCCTCCAATCGACCATATGAAGGAGGTGGACGGGAGGACCAGCGGCGGGACCGGGACCGGGACCGATTCAATAACCAAGGGCAAGGAGATCGTCCCGGGCAAGATACCCAACCAGTAATCTCGACTCCTATGTACCAAGCTATGGAAATCCCGCGGATCGTCCGCGAGATGGTAGCGAATATGGCGGCAATCGGCGTGATTATCGCCGAGAGCCGCCACGGCGGAGAAGTAGAAGTCCCAATTTTCGGGACTCGAGTCGATGATAGGCCGAGAGGCCAAATATGATGCTGGGCATGGTGCCCATAACGATGTACTTCTACGTAACCCTAGCAGGTCTTGGTCTTCCTATGTAGCGAAAATAATACCTGAAACTTTTAGAATTCGGATTTACTAGATAAAGTAGCACTTGCTATTCTACCACCATGAAAGAATAGCAAATAATTCTTGAATATCCCATAAAACCCCCCCTATCAAACCCCATTTCTCGCAATGTTCAAGCCGTTGACTGGCCCATTGAACTGAAACCCTTTGCCCGTATTGTTATTCTGTGACCCGCTTCCAGTGTTCACATGCATAGAACCCGACCCAGAATTGTGGAATTTATGAGAGACCCCAGGCAACGAGGAAGGTATCATATTGACCTGTCGCAATGCTTCCCCCAATTCTTCAATTTGCGAGCTAATCGCGTTGTCTTTCGCAAAGAGTGGACTCATTGCCAGTTCAATCGCATTTTGAAGGATATCTCTCATCACAATCTCCAATCCGATGCCTTGCGCAACTCTTGGATACTGCTGCACCGCATCGGAGCTTTCAATGACACCCTGGAAGATATCGTCCAGTCTCGTCACTTTCTTATTGCACTGTACTAAAATCCTACCAACTTCATGGGTAGATTGTTCATCCTGTGCAGACCATGTTTTAACGTGGCTTTTACAGGATGTAAGAACTGCTTGGACTAGTGGTATATGAACGGCTGTATTGCTGAAGACAGGAGGGAGATTTTTGGTGGGATTTTCATGAGTCTCTTCGGTCTTTGAAAGGGTGTGTATTGCATCACTGAGGGAGTTTCTTATTTGAGTGCGGTTGGGTGAAGGCATGGCTTCGGCAAGCATAATGGTAGTAGTATGATCTGCGGGATAGCTCCGGTAGAGAGGTTCAATTTGTAATGAAAAGTAGCTGAGTGTACCTTTTCAAAATATAGCACAGGAAAGTAAGACACCAGTCCGATGCGTAAGTCCTGGATGCACGGGGATTTTGTAGGTTCCTACCTAGCAGGATATTTGCTTTAATTAGCATACTTGAGCGAGATTTAGACGCCGATCTAAAATTACCAGCATTTCAGAAACACCCAGGCAAAACCAAGACCAAGACCCCCTGTCGTCAAAAGTACTATTATCTCGATTATCCCCACTTCAATTCAAGCCAATGAACCCCCTCTTTCTCTCTGTCCAGAAATGCCAGAATTTATCGTACCACCCCCACGACAGCTGTATTCTCAGGCCTGGATATAAATATAGCCTGACGATGATATATGAGACTTGAATTAAGTTGCATACTGTTTGAGTCGGTGTGATTTTGACGCTGGAAGAAAACGTACTGCTACTGCGATTTCGCCCCCAACCCAAGTTGAACTTAGCGCTGTGATTCAATTGCATATTTTGAAACGCATACTCCATAAATGTGCAGGCTATGAGCGTCGTTGGTTGAACGAAGTTCGTCTTGGGAGACTAAGATTCCCGCCTTCAGATACTTGTTGAGCTGAAATCCCGCCAACTTGATCTGACATGTCACGATTTATATGATGCAGAGATTTAAGTCTTTTACGAAGCAGATAAACCGACGCTCTACGACAGATACGGTCGAAAATTGCGAGATTTTACCTGATTCGTCAATGCAACCAGGAACCACCACGGTAATAGCGCAAGACAAACCATCTGAATCATCATTCCCAGATGGGGTTGAAATTTTATACAATGCTCCCCAGGCGGAACTTGATATTTGCTTTCTTCATGGATTGACTGGAGACCGGCGGAAGACATGGACGCCTCATGGACAGGAGGAGCCTTGGCCGAAAACATTGCTGCCGGCCTTTATCAGCAAAGCCCGAATTTTAACGTACGGGTATGACGCTTATGCATTGCGAAAATCTGTCGCTTCAAATAACCGAGTAATCGACCATGCTACGAACCTTTTGCATGACCTGACGACTGATAGGGCGTCTTGCAATGCCTCATCAAGACCTATAATATTCGTGGCTCATAGCCTCGGCGGCCTGGTGTGCAAGAAGGCACTTCTTCTATCTCGAAATAATCCTGAATCCCATCTCCAAGAGATTTTTGATTCCACAAAGGGCGTCATTTTTATGGGCACGCCCCATGATGGGTCTCGGATGGCTAATTGGACGAAGATACCCGCTGCAGCTCTGGGATTTGTGAAGTCTAGTAACAAATCATTGCTTGATGTTCTGGAAACCAAGAATCAACTTCTTGAATCTCTCCAGATTGAATTTCTGGAGATGGTACGGAATTTGCAAGGAAGCGGTCGAAGCTTTGAAGTGACTTGTTTTTTCGAAGAGCTTCCTTTGTCTACATTTGGAAAGGTAGTACCCAAAGAGTCGGCAGTTCTGTATGGATATAATTCAATCAGTATTCATGCAAACCACAGTGAAATGGTGAAATTTGAATCATCTGAAGCAACTGGGTTCAAAAGATTGCTGGGGGAGCTTCAGAGATGGAGCTCGCAACTGAGGTATGGTGCTAAAAAGTTTTATCGTCCGTCAGCATGCTTTCTAATTATCAAATGCAGTACTACGAATCTGTCTCCCTCTTCAAACTCTTCGTCTTTGCCGGAAGAAGATATATCCAAATTCACGTTTCGAAATTCTGGAGAAGGAACAATGAACGTTAACTCAGGCCCTGGTACTCAGAATAGTAACAGTGGTGCTGGGTATCAGTTTAACGGCACGGTTAACGGTCTTTCGCTATCCTAGCTAGGTTGCCTTTTAGAAACAACCAGATTTTGAATTTGACTATATAATCACTACCACTTTTTTGGATTCTTACCTGTAGCGCTGCAATCATCGATGCCTTCGACCAAACCTCTTTATCGCCGGTTAGTTATGCAAATCATGCAAATCATCCAAGTCATTAAATAGTTTGAATAGGCCTTCCTAATGGTTAAGTTTCATATTTTTTATTGATATCTAGAGTACGGAATAGCAGAATCAAATTAGGATCGGCAAGGCTAAAACAGGAGGGGGTGGTAAAAACTAGTAGTATGTACATCGTTTGCTAAAGTGGGGGGGGAGTTATGTACCAAGAATACTTCCATTACAAATGAGGCGCTAACTGTAACACCCTAGTAGGATGGATTCATGTACATATTATAGTCAACTCCACCCATTCCTCGTATCTCTGGTAGTCTCACTCGCCCTGGACTGAAATACTTTCACCCCGCGTCGTCGCAACTTCATTCACTGTCCACCCCACATTCAAATTCCACTTCATCAGTGATGGTACCTTGAATTAAACAAAAGGGTAGACAGTGCGTACTTCGAAACAAAATGAGTCAACTCGAAAGCCATCTTCTTGCCTCCAATGAAGGTCAAGGGTCACTATTCGCCAATACTGGCCCTGGTTCTCAGAACAACAACACTGGTGGCGGAACACAGCATAATACCGGTATATTACTACATTGGAGCATTAAATAGAATGGGATTATTAACAAAAGACAGTCAATCAATATTTCCTCCAACTTCAGCAAAGGGAAGGTGGGATTCCCTTGAGCAGATCGTAAACTGCAAGAAATCCTCATCGTTTTAATTAAGTGCTAACTTGTTATAGGCTTGGATGAATTGGACTTCAGTATGCGCCGCCTTGGTCGTGATTTTGCAGATTGGTTCTCATCAGATTTATAGGGATCCTCAACTCACTGACCTTCGATGGAATGAGGAGTCGACACGCAAACATCAGAAGAAGACATAAAAACACATGCCAGTGGGTACTGGGTTTGGAGAAATACCGATCATGGATGGCAAGTACTTCCGGTCTGCTATGGATCAAGGGAAAGCCAGGCACTGGGAAATCTACCTTGATGGTCTTTCTGCATGAGCAGTTAAGCTATTCACGTTCAGAGAGTCATGTCATTCACCTCAACTTTTTCTTCTATGCCAGGGGCAAATATTTACAACACACGCAGCTTGGAATGCTCAGATCATTGCTTTACCAAATCTTTAATCGTGATGAGAGCATACGCAAAACTGTTCGCGAGTTCTACAAACAGAATGTTGGGCTTGATGTTGGACCTGGACATGAATGGGAATTGTCCCAATCACAATTGGAAGAAGCATTCCAGAAAGCTGTTCTTGCTTCGGCTTCCGTAAATCAGGTGGTCATTTTTGTCGATGCGTTGGACGAAGCTGGAGCCACATCGGCTCTGGGGCTGGCAACTTACTTCCATGAACTGAATGCAAGTGCGGAGAAAGAAAATCTCAAGCTCAAAATTTGCATCTCATGCCGGCACTATCCAGTTCCGAGCTCTCGGCCTGCTGTGGAGATCACAGTCGAAAATCATAATCACGGAGATATCACCAATTACTTGCAAGACCATCTATCTACGAGCCCGGCCATTCGTGGTCAGCAGCTGGCAGATAAATTGATCGAACAAGCCGGAAACATGTTCCAATGGGCCTGCGTCATTTTGCCATTTGTTCAGCAAAAGCTTGCAGAGGGAGACTCGCCTGAAGTCGTTTTCAACTGGCTGAAAGAAGTTCCAACCCCGCGAGAAGATATGAATGACACTTATCAATACATTTTGGACCATGTTATAACGGACTGGAATTGGGCTCAATCCTTTCTACTTTTTCAGTGGGTGTATCTAGCCGAAAGACCTCTGACTCTGCTCGAAATTCGGTACGCCCTGACAGTTTCTAACGCACGGGCGACACATGCCAAAAAGGGATACAATGGCTTGGAATATGCCCTCGAAGCAGAGAATTTTGGCTCGAAAATCAAAGCTCTTTCTGGTGGCCTAGCTGAACTTGTATCCGTTGAAGACAACCGACAGATTATACAAGTCATTCATCAATCTGTCAACGACTTTTTGTGTGAAAAGGGACTGCCTTGGTTGGCTGCTCGTGTCAGAGGTAGACCCTTATTGGCCACCGGTGATGAGATTATTCTTGAATGCCAGGCAACACTCTATCGATCATGCTTGGACTATCTCACCATTGAGCTGTTAAAAGGATTGGAAGTACGCGAGTTTGAAGACGACAGGGCAGAACAACTGTGGATTGAAGAAGAGAAAGAGGAAGTCCTTCAAGGCCGACCATTTATCCACTACGCAGTCACCTATCTTTTCGTCCATGCTGGAAAAGCCCAGAGTTTGCGTACCAACAATCTAGAGGATGACCTGCGAGAGCTCGAACGCATATTTGACCTATGGTTCAGGATTTATTACACGATTGATACTTCCAGATGCCCCCCAAAGAATTCAAAGCTCGTTCACATAGCGGCCGCCGTCAACATGAACGATATAATAGAAGTTCTTCTCACTTCAAAGACAGAAAATGACGCAGAGACGGATTCTAATGGTAGCACTCTCATGCATATCGCAGCTCAATACGGCCATATGGAACTGGCAAGATCATTGCGATCGAGAGGCTTCAGCTGCATGGTAAAGAACAAGCGCGATGAGACACCACTGCTTTTGGCCATACAGTATGACAATTTGGAGATCGCTCGATGGCTTTTGGACGAAATAAAGGATTCGAAAGCAGCCAGCGAGATTGACATTGCATTACAAGAAGCCTCTTTTAAGCGTCAGCGGGACATGGTCTGGCTACTCAAAGCTACTGGTGCCAACGTCAATTTTCAGGGAGGTAAATATGGCTCTGCTCTCCAGGCTGCTGCATCTTCAGGGAGCGCCAATATTGTGAAGATCTTATTACTGGCTAAAGCCAACGTCAATGCAAAAGGGGGGCAAATTCAACACAGCTCTCCAGGCAGCTGCATTTTGCGCGGGCCCTGACGTTGTCAAAATTCTTCTGGATGCTGGTGCCAAGGTTGACTTATGTGGAGGGAAATACGGAACTGCGCTACAGGCGGCTGCACGGAATCGAGAGATTGAGAGCGTTAAGCTCCTATTACACTTTGGCGCCGATGTAAACCAACGGGGTGGTAAATATGAGACCGCTCTACAAGCCGCCGCAGCTTCGGGGAGTGACATTATTGTTAAGTGCTTAATAAACGCTCACGCCGACGTCAATTTAAAGGGAGGCAAATATGGGTCAGCTCTCCAGGCTGCCGCAGTTTGGGGGAACGTTGAAGTTTTGAGAATACTGCTGGAAGCTGATGCCGATGTTCATTCAGGTGGAAAGGATGAAGCCCCGGCTCTTCAAAATGCTGCGTCGATGGGCGATCTTGATTTGGTGAAGCTCCTACTGGAATTTGGCGCTGATGTCAACCAAAGAGGGGGGAAACACGAAACCGCTTTACAGGCTGTGGCATACGATGGTAACATCGCTGTTTTGAAGTGTCTCATAGAGGCCAAAGCTAATGTCAGGCTGAAAGGGGGCAAATATGGAACTGCTCTCCAGGCTGCCGCCTGTCGCGGGAATGCTGAATGTGTGACGATGATACTAAACGCTGATGAGATCGTCAATGTCAATGCCCATGGAGGTATGCATGGCAGTGCGTTACATGCCGCCGTTATGTGTGGGAGTTCTGATACCGCGAAGATCCTCATCGAGGCTGGAGCCAATGTTCATGCAAATGTTGGTCTTAAGACCACTCCGCTGGAAATTGCCTGTTTTAATAGAAGACCTGATATGATGCGAATCCTATTGGAAGCCGATTCTAATGTCAAAACAAATAGAGAGAGATATTCTCTAGCTCTCCATCTTGCTTTGGAGAAAGGGTTTGAAGAAGAGGCAAGGATATTGAAAAATGCTGGTGTATCTAGGTTCTAGGGACTGGAAACTTTAAACAATCATATAGTTTAGGTACAAATATTCAAAAATGACTTATTACAGTTGGCCAATTGTCCTAAGAGTATGTAGGAACCGGGTGGAGTCGCCCGAGAAGCGCAACTTCAATATTACTAGTATGATTACTAGTTACTGGATAGGAAGCAGGTCTGTCATATGGCATTGATAATTGTCTAGCAGCGTCGTAATGCAGGTCGCTATGTAAAATGATTTGGGATATGTAGATAAAGTAAGTAGATGAACCCTACCGCTTATGTGCTAGAACTCGCAATTATCATAGGGCCTCTAGCTTGCGCTATCCCCTAGATTGATGACTATGCAGAATGCATCCTGGCGAGATCTCGATGCAAATGAAGATCTGTTTTAATTTGCCGTAGGTTGAGGAGTAGGTAACCTATCGCGAACTCGATTAGCAACAGCCCTACCCCGTAGGTCAAAAAGGACAGATAAATATAAAGATAAACACTTACTTAAGAAGTTCAAAAATCTTATACTTCTGCAAATACCGAGTCTCCCTCCGATAAGCCTTCAACAACCGGGCAGGATGATCTGATTTCGCAGACGTCCCGATAAGCCGGCTCATTGCAGGCGATGTTTTGAACATAGGATCGAAGACGAGTAGATTGGCGGTGTTATCATCGCGAAGCTCGAATCCGATGATTGTCATTGAATGGCCTGGTCACCGTCGTATTAATTTAGTCTCGGACTCCGAGGAGAGCGGGTAGGTTAAGCGGGGAGGAGACATTCACTTACCTTGGTGCTGGAAGTATATTGGAGGTAGATCGGTCATGAAGACCTTCTTCTCATCGTCTAGGGAGCAATTTGATCGGAAGTAGGATGCAACATCTTGGTATAAGGCCATGTGTGCGCGCATATTGCTTGATTCGCTTAGACTGCTTGCGTCGCAGCTAAAGGGGAGGTTAGTCGTTGATCTGTCTTTTATTCATGGGGTCAAAACTTACGGGATACCAAGACTCATAAACAGTGCTTGTGCCTAAACACCACAGCATTAGCATTAGCATATTTCTGCCATTTAAGAAAAATAGCGTGTCCCCATTACTAACCTCCGGCGTCCCAATAAACTTCCTCGTCCCCTTAATACCTCCCGTCTCAGTCCGTCCCGAACTATTAAACCCCCAATCCCACGCGCGCTCAATCAGATCCTGCAATTCCAAAATCGAAGGCACACCGTCCGGGAAATTCTCATGACCAAGACTCTTCGACTTGGTAATATAAGAAACAAGCATTTGAATATTGCGGTATCCGCAAAATCCGCCTTCGCGCGTCATCTTGCACACATGTCGGACTTTGGGACTGCAGAGAAAGACGCGCTGGGAGGACTTATCTTGTTCGCAGAGTTTTGCTATGACGGGGACGAGGTTTTCGGTTTCGTTTTCGACGCTCGTGTGGCGGGATAGTTTGCCGTCGGTTGTGATTCGGGTTTGCTTTGAGGTGCGGCTGCCTTTTTCTAGCATTTTCTTGAGCCATGTGGGCATTTTTTTTTTCATGGGCGTGTGGGCCTAGTTCTGAGCGCTGGATTAATTGTTAATAAGACTATTATTGAAGAGAGAGAGAGAGAAAGGGTATATGGATGGTATAGTTACTTACCCCCAGCCGCTTAGCACCATCCGAACCCAATTTGCCGACGGGACTGCGACTTCGTCCTTGTGCTGGTTTCGAAGTGTTCGAGCGAGTAAAGTCTCGATCGGCGCCTCTTTTACTGCCTTTCTGGCTCACATGGAAGTCCCGGGAGTCGTTCAGATCTGACGATATATCGGGCTCGCTGGACAGTTCTGTATTAAAGGGACTCTGGACTGGCCCGGAGTCGTCCAGCGCAAGGCCTTCTGCGATATGTAAATCGAGATGGGTTGCCAGTTCGGCAGTTGTGATGGTCTCACCACATCCATGTGGACAGTCGACATATTTTTCCGTAGAATCTTCGTCCACCGGGAATGGAGACGGGGATGGGCTGGTGGTTTCGAATGCGGGTGTTTCGAAAGTGTGTGGTGGCGGGGCACCTCCTTCTGGGTGGCAGTATTCGATGTGCTGCTCCACGAAGGTCGCATCTTGGTCTGAGAAGGGGCAGAATGGACATGATGGGGTGATGTGATCGGCCATGGTGACTGGTTCTTAGGGTGTGCTGGGAGATTGGGCAGGAGAGATGAGATGGGGTGGCTTTATCTCCAAGCCACGTGCGAGATGATCCCGGGATACTACCAGAGCATAGAGCCAGTTGGCACCTTATTAGATGTATGCATACAGCAGGTCCTAGTCTCTTGGTGGTTTGGTTTCTCGAAATCTCAAAATATAGCGGTGCCTGGCGCAGACGTGGTTGCGGGTGAGACCCACTTAGAGGCAAGAATAGCCTCGCCTGATCTATAAGGTTGGTCTTACTTACAACTCAACCCCAATCAATCCCCATAGCTCTAGCAAAAGTGGCTATAACGAAAATTGGCAAATTTGGGTGAGATTATTGAAAATAGCTATTGAAAATATCCCTTTCCACGCCATATTCAATAATGCTAGCTGCAGCTAATGCTAGCAGTAATAATGATAGACAAGTACAACTGTCGGTACAATGGACTACTTGAGCCATGCTTATTCTGGTCAAAGCGCATGTTTCATTCCTTACTCGGACTGAATATCACATGCAAACCTGGGGTTAATCTACGATCCCATTGCTCCAGTAAGATACATTATATATCGAATTTGTCATCCAATCCCAAGTCGATAAGACAGCCTAGAACTACCCTACCTTACCCCGACCCTAAACTAACGATCGGGAATGAAGAGACTAAAATATAAGAAATTGAGCATATTCAAAACTATTGTATATTAAGAATCACCTTTGAGTTGGCTTGTTAAATCGCTCATATATACTAGCTGTATACTAGTATACTAGTACTATCGGGCATGAACGGAGGCGGCGCGATGCCTAATCCGGCGAGGAATGTATAGATCCATGGATGCGGAAGTGGCAACAGCCTGTAACTAATACAAATAAATATAGGTAGATGATAGTATATACTATATACACATGTATATATTCTATAGAAATAAATGTAAGTAAATAGATATAAACAATAAATCTATACAATACTGTATACACATAGTACTCTGCCTCTGCGTCATCGCGGGGCCAAGATGGCGTGATTGGCGGGGCATCTCCGACATCGCGTTCCTGGAGGGGAAGGCGGAAAAACTCAATTGACTGACTCACCTGAAAAATTATTCGGGTTCGGCCTGCTAATTCAAGGGCCGCTTGACTGGCCCACTCCTCCGCTTTCGCTGTCTTTCCTTTGCTTTTGCTCTTGCTCCTCTTCAATCATTTCGTTTCGCATTTCGTGGTTTTGTGGTTATGGCTTCCTTTCAAGCAGATCAGCCGGCTCCCGCCGCCTTGCATAGCAATTGGGTCGTTCAAAAGTTTGGCGGTACCAGTGTTGGCAAGTTCGCTTTGAATATTATCCAGCAGGTTGTCGAGTATGTTGATGTCCCTCGTTCCTGAATGACATGGCCATGGCCATGTCATGACTCGACCCCGTCATTCTCGCCAACATTCATACTAATATCTGATCCCCCGACTACAGACCCAGTCTCATCGACAACCGTGTTGCTGTCGTCTGCTCAGCCCGAAGCAGCTCTACCAAAGCCGAAGGCACCACAAACCGGTGAGTCATGGCTCTCTTGAAGCATGCCCCAAATCGAAACACCACCCCGACCCCTACACCCCTACGATATACGAACCCCTCTCAGAAGTCCCTTCAAAACCACTCGCAATCACCGACCAGACCCATTCTAACCTTCCCCACTCACAGGTTACTGCGGGCAGCCCGGGATGCGGAGAACTCCCACTCACGGCAATATGAAGTACTAGTCGAAGCCGTCCGCCTAGAACACACCGCAGTGGCCCAAGAACAGTTGAAATCAGTGGATCTAAAAGAGCAAGTGGTATCCGATATCAACGGCGAATGCGAACGAGTCCTCAAAGTCCTCGAAGCCGCCCAAACCCTCGGCGAAATCAGCGCACGATGCGTGGACAAAGTCATCAGCACAGGCGAGAAACTAAGCTGCCGCCTAATGGCCGCATTCTTGCAAGATCGCGGCGTCGATTCACAATACGTCGATCTATCCGACATAATCGACTTCCCCATCGGCGCCCACGGTCAGACCAGACATTTTATAATTCCCTCGCCGCAGCGCTGGGGAAAAAAGTCGCCGAGTGCGGTCACCGAGTCCCCGTCATCACTGGTTACTTCGGTACTATCCCGGGCGGACTTTTGGACCAGGTTGGACGGGGTTATACGGATTTATGCGCTGCGCTTGTGGCTGTTGGAACGCATGCCAAGGAACTTCAGGTTTGGAAGGAGGTTGATGGTATTTTCACGGCTGATCCGAGGAAAGTGCCCACGGCCCGACTTTTGCCTGCGATCACACCTTCCGAAGCGGCTGAGTTGACTTTCTACGGATCAGAAGTCATTCACCCATTTACCATGGAGCAGGTGATTCGTGCCCGGATCCCGATTCGCATTAAGAACGTCATGAACCCGCGAAACAAGGGGACGATTATTTTCCCCGATTCCCCGGCCGAACTGGTGCGTACACCTGGCCATGACCCGCGATTGTTCCGCACGCGCAGTCCGAGTCTGGCGCAGAAGCCGAAGCGGCCTACTGCCGTCACGATCAAGCATAAGATCTTGGTTATCAATGTTCACTCGAATAAGCGATCGCTATCGCATGGCTTTTTTGCTGGGATATTTTCCGTATTGGATAAGTGGCGTCTGTCAATTGATTTGATTTCGACGAGTGAGGTCCACGTGTCGATGGCATTGCACTCCGAGGCACCTCTGCTGAATGGTAATGGAAGGGATGAATACCAGGTTATTGATGATGATCTGAAGGGGGCCTTGAATGATCTGGGCAAATATGGAACGGTCGATATTATTCCTGAAATGGCCATTCTGAGTTTAGTCGGCAAGCAGATGAAGAATATGATCGGTGTGGCGGGGCGGATGTTCACTACTCTGGGCGAGAACAACGTGAACATTGAGATGATTTCGCAAGGTGAGTTTGATTGAGTCTGACTGAGTCGATGGTGGATCCCAACGTTGCCCCTCACGTTACCTTCATCCTTACCCCTGAATTGTCAAAGACTGACCTCTTTTTTCTTTCCCCCCTGCAGGTGCGAGTGAAATCAACATCTCCTGCGTCATCGAAGAGCGCGACGCCGACCGCGCTCTCAATATCATCCATACCAGCATGTTCACCTTCTTGGACTAGATGTCCATGGCGGGTGGGTTAACGAGTCATTGTCGTTTGAGATATCCCATGGGCCGGTTCAGCTTGTGCTTTTGCCATTTGTTTTTATTTTTAGAGAAAAGTTGGCGTGCATCTTCCTCGGAGGAGGCTCTCTGCCTTTCCCGTCTCCCCTCTCTCCGTTTCTCGGTAAAAAAAAGAAAGAGAGAGCAAGAGAGAAGAGAGAACAGAGACATCCGTGAGGTCATTCAGCATCGTGTTCTTTTCTTCTTTGCGATGCATGGATGTGGCGTTTTGTGGTTTCCTGCAGATAGAATTTCGGAAGATCCCTGTTTCATGATGAAGGGGGTGAGCTAAAGCCAGCCCTTTCTAATGGTATGGTTTAATGGAGGGGAATATAAGCTATACGCTGTATATTGGATATGAATGAATTATTTATTAGAAGTTTCCAATGATTGCATTTAATGACCGTGACTGTAAGGAAGGTTCTGCGTAGTGTTACGTGCATTAACCAAAGCAGGTACCAATGTACGCAATGCAGAATAAATGTAGGTACCAAAGGTACTTTGAATATGTACTCGTATAGGTACTTGGTACTTAGTCACATATGTAGTCGTGCTACTTACCCCAGCTAACTACGATTTACATGGATTAGGGTTAACTTTCAGCTACTGCAGTACACGCACGAAAGTGAACCCTCGAGGGCCCCGTCCCGTCCCATTGACTACGACTACTGACATCGAGACAGACAGTATGTACTGTATGATCTGAGTCAAGGGTCCTGCAGAAAGGAGATCCTCCGTCGATCATGGCCAATGGCTGGAGAGAGCAAGGGATGATCCGACGCGACGGCTGTCTCAGAGTTACATCCGCATTCCTGACGTGTACCAATAGGGAGGCGGGGACAGGGGAGGAAGGGGAATTAATTATTTAATTATTCAATTATAGAAAGAGGGAAGGGAAGCCAAGAGAATGGCATGATATTGGGTGAGGATGTACGGAGTAGGGTTAGGAGTAGTACTAGCCGATAGGTTGTGGAGGGTAGGGGGATCTCGTGGAGTCGAGTTGGGGCTGGACCGCTGGGAGATCGGATAGTCGTGCTAGTCGCAGATAACCTCGGATCCTCACACAAAGTATCTAGTACGCTACTGTGGGATATGATCTCAGGGTGGAGCAGATACTAGCAGCAGCATAGTGTATACTCGTACTAGCACATACTTTGTGTTGGTCCGATCCGCACATGCCAAGCAAGGAGCAATCCCTTCATACACCATGGAAACAGAGGTATTGTCATATAGTACAGTGTAATCTGGTATATAAGTGCCAAGACCCATACTAAATCGCGTGACGCGTCCGCGTGCATACCATACCATACCCGTATTGTCTCACGCTGGTACACCGTCATGGCCCTCACATCTTCTCTCCATCTACATGTAAAGTAAATGTAAAGTAAACCGGGTATACTCTGCTGTACTTCGTACTCCTACACTATCATCTCACCTCACTCCTCCTCCCCCCACCTCCCCCCCTCCCCGTCTTGAACTCTCATCTTGCGCGTTCAAAGGGATCTTAAGGAAAAAAGAGGGAAAGTACAGAAGACAAAAGGGACGCGACTTCCAGGCCTCCTTCACAATCTGCTTTGTGCTCTGCTGCCTTCCCTCCGCTACCCAATTCCCCTCTTCTTCCCCCAACGCACTTCACTTTCCACCCACTTCCATCTCGCTCTACTCGGCTTCTCTTACGAAGACCTCGAAAATAGAACAAATTGCATCCGTCTGAACAGAATTTCGGGGATTTCCCTTACTTTACAACATCTTCGCTCGTGGTGATTTCCACAAAAAATCGAGTTCTCCATCTTCATCCGCCGCTGATTCGACTGGCCCATATTGGACGTATCACCCGGTCCTAGCGCCTTTTGGCCCAACGCTTGCAATCACGACTAGTCTTGCTGCATGACGGCCTGAGGTTGCTGACTATCACATCCGTTCTGTCTCATCATTGGCTCGACGCGAATTCTCTTCACCTTCAATCACCCGTTGGACTCGGCGTTGCTGAACCCGCCTGCGCACGCCTTCCCCCATCACGCCGGCAATTGTTGATTTCGACGCGTCATATGGTCCCTATTGGTGACTGCTGACGATTCCGCATCGTTTCCTACCCTTTGGATTATGGGATCGACGCGTCCAGCGCTCGGCGCGCACAATTCCCCGGCGCTGGCCCCATCTGCACAGGAACCCATCAAATCGCAGCCCCGACTCCAACCCTCACCGCTACCACTGCAACCCATTGAAAACCCATTCCATCCGTCTGGCCCGCACAGGCCATCGCCGACAAAAGGCTTTCCTGTCCACGGCGCGCATCCGGGACGCAAACTCGGTTTTGTTCCCATCTCCGCTCCCGCTCCTCCCATGTTCACCACCGACTCCCCGGCCAAGAAACCGCCTTTCCCCATATACGCCCAGTCCTCTATGCCGCCGCAGTCGGCTCTCTTCACTACCTTTTCCAGTGTCAATCCCGAATCATCAAAGGAGAACGTACGCCCGGAAGATTCTCTCAATGGCAGCTTTGCCGACTTCCCTGAACCGTCCTATGATTCCAAGCTTCCCATGAAGCGCACACTGATGGACGCTGCCCCGCTCAAGGAACGCTCAGTCAAAAAGCAAAAGCGCGAAGACGCGCCGCTTCATCACCTCCCGGAACCTCATGAGATGCCGCCTATCGAGGACGACGGCACGAAGCCGCCGTACAGTTATGCGACTCTGATCGGCATGTCGATTCTGCGCGCGCCCAACCGCCGTCTAACTCTGGCCCAGATCTATAAATGGATTTCCGATACGTTTTCTTACTACAAGCACAGCGATCCGGGCTGGCAGAATAGCATTCGGCACAACCTCAGTCTGAACAAGGCATTCATCAAACAAGAACGACCGAAGGATGATCCGGGCAAGGGCAATTACTGGGTCATTGAGCCAGGGATGGAATTGCAATTCCTCAAGGACAAGCAAGTTCGTCGTGCCACGATGTCCAGCTTGCCCCTCCCCGCAGTACCCCAGAGAGATCTCGCCCCTCAACCCCAGAGTGCAAGTACGACGACGTGGATGGTACCACCACCTCCCGCGCGACAACTTCCACCACCACCAAAAGCCTCGCACAACGACGATCTTTCTTCTGATGCCACCTTGCCTGCGTCCGATCCCGCCTTGCAGGAGGATGCAAGTGACGAGGTTATTCATGCACCTCCACACCACACCGCCCCCCTGCGTTCATCCCCCCCCACAGGCCATTCGATCCTCTCCTCCCATCGCTCCTCCTCGGTTCTCTCGTCAAGGCACTCCTCCCACGCCAACTCATCAACCTGGCCCTACTCCTGCTCAACGTCCTCGCAAGCGCAAGTCCATCACCATGAACGACAGTGGCTACTTCTCCTCCCTTGAATCCTCGGCCATGCGTCCCAACAAGGCTGGCCACATCCTTACCTCTGATCTTGACATCGAGCCGCCTCGTATCAAGCGTGGTCGCGCGGAAGAAGAGATTGCTCGAATTCGCAGCTCGTCGCATGATGTTAGTCCTGGACAACCTCCTGCCCGGAAGGATGCCAGCGCCATCGTTGGATCTTCACCTCTGCGTGGAGGATACGTCAGCATGCTCCCTCCGCCATTAACACCCATAATCAAATTCAAGAAACCGGCGAAGCCCCCACCGTCGGTCTCTCCTAATACCAACCTTCGCAACCACCGACGCAAAATTCAGCAAATGGTCAACTCCCCGATTAAGCATCTGGGTCTTGCTGAAGATGACCTCCCTTGGAGCCCGGCCTTCAACCTCCATGACGAGAGCTATACTCCACATGACCACTTCCACACTACCTTTGATGTCTTCGCCGACGCCCACACACTGCATGTTTCCCCAGCTGCCTGTGGCTCACCGGAGAAACGCTCCGTCAAGCGACAGCGTACCGATAATAGCAATGCATTAACCGATATCACCTCGGTGAATGTCAACACCCGACTCGGCATGCCTCCCCTTGCGCGATCTAAATCAGCTATCTTCCCGGAATCACCTTCAAAGCTCCCGGAGACTGGACGACTGGGCGAAACAAGCCAAGACGACTTCTTCTCCTTCCACCTCTTTGACGAGAGCAATAACAGTCCCGATGAAGTTGACGGCGTCGATTTACTTCAGGGGTTTCAAAAAATCGGAGGTACTACAAAGGACGATTCGCTTAAACCGAAGGCTTTGTATTCGCGACCTCACCTCACTAGTCGCAGCAACACCTCCTTGTTCTGAGAAAAAGAAAATTCGTCTGTTCCGATTTGTTTTGCATTGATCATATCATGTTCTGTGTTGGACCCATGGGAACATGGGAAGGACATAACATACGCTGATACACGCTGATACTCCGCTCCGCTTTTTGACTTGACATGACATGACTTCGTCCTTTTTCCCCACACTGCACTGGCGCTATTCGAGATATTCTACTCCCCCACGGCTGTTCTTGTTCTTGTTCTTGTTTTTTTACTTCCTGCGATTGCCACACAAACACCCGCTTTTCTGCTTTTTTTTTCTTCTCTATTCCTGCGTTGGGTTTTGCGTTTGCGTTGAGGAGTTGGAATTGGATTGTCACCAGGTTTCTTTTTCGATTGGGCGGTACACATTCTTTTTATTTGGGAGTTCTTGGGAGCGTTGCACTGCAGTGCAGAGCACCGCGCCACACCGCGATTCGCTAGGGTGGTTCTGCATTCTCTCCGGTTTTTATCTCTCTATTTCCCCGCGCCGAGCCCGGGATGGCCTAGCCTGGCCTGGTCTGGTTACGACCTTAATGACGATGCTTAAGATGTACATGAGCAAAGCGATGCTTTCATGATTTGGGTTTGGGTTTGGTTGGGTTGGATTGTCATGGATTTATCTTTTTTTATCTTTTTTATTCTTTTTACTGGTATGGGTGCTATGGTTTGTTTTAGTTAGGGACTCGGATTGACTGGATGGGATGGAATGGGATGGATACATGGAGGCGCTATTGATTATGTAGCAATTTGAATTCATATGATGATTATTGAGTCTCTTTATTTCCAAGTGGATTGTCGTATTTGAGCTTGATTTAACTTGTAAATTTACTAGTACTTTGGATGTGGATCTGGGAGTCTTGTAGGCTCGGATATATACATGCTACTACTAGTAGTACTCATAGTACTTCTGTACCGAGCGCAATACTACTGGTACTAAGCGATGTGACTGACATGACTGCCAACCTTAAAAAGTTGTAGGGCTCTTCGTTGAAGGATTAGACTGGATGTACTATTGCTACTCCTAGTAGACCTCAGCGACACAACTCTTAAATGTAAAGGGTATCTTTCATATCTGATTAACCATCCAACCAAAGCCCCGAATACTAACAACTTGAATGAAAACAACATCGAATCGAATCGAACCCATGATAAACATCACATAACATAACTAGATGCAAGCAAAGCAACCCAAAACGCCCAAAGTCCATTCCAGTCCAGTGTATGATTTGTTTTTCTCCAGTAGGGCCGTGTAGTGCAAGCAGCCCATAAGAACCGAGTAGAGTAAGGTACTACCTAATCACTACTAGCACAACCACGACACCCACAGCTAACACACTGAATAGACTGATCTTCTTTCAATTGAGCCTTTGGTACGCGGCAGATGCAGGTTGCGTTGAAATTTGTTTCCTTTGATTGGACGCAGCGGAGGCAGCAGAGCTGAATTAAACAGAAAAGATTGAGTTAGCAATGAACCGAAACGAACGGGAACTGGAGGAACGGGACAAAAATAAGGTAGTATATGGATATTTCAAAGCAAAGGGATCAAACATACCTTTTCGTAACCCTGTTTCTTCCACTTTGCGATTAGATTCGCGTCGGCGTAGTTATTCTTTAACAACCAGTCGTAGAGTTGTTTGGAGATGGCTTCTTTTTCGTAGTATAGGTCATAGATATATCGGGAGCCTGGATGAGGAGGGAGTTATTGTTAGACATAGAATAGAATTAAATTAGGAATAGGATGGGCTGGAATGGAATGGGGTATTTGGAGTGGGGTGTATTCTCCAAAGACTGGGAGCTTGGGGACACCCTTCAGGCTGGGACAGAGGGGGGAGGAAAGGGAGCAAAGCAGAGTATGTGTGTGAAGGGCTCTCAAGGTAGGTGTATGTGCATGTCTCTGTATGTAGGCAGACTGGACTCGAGGCAACTCAAGGTTCGGGGCGATACATACGCTGATGACTGATCTGAAAAATAGGCCAGAGAACCTCATATTTCTTCTTTCCCTCGTGTGACGCGTTCTCTGCATCTTTCATCTTATTGCTGAACTCCAGTAGGGTATCTTCCAAGTCGTCGAAGCCAGCGGGTGGCGGTTTGCGATTGCGGGAGGTACGGATGGGAGGCATGACTGCGGCTGTGTTGGGTGGGTGGGATCGATTCTTTCGATGGGGCGCAAATAGCACTCTTATAAGCCTAAGCCTAAGCCTGTGCCTCAAACGAAAGACGAGGCGGTGGGAGAAAGAGCGAAGGACGAGGGGCAGATGATAGATATCAGAGACAGACAAGGTCGGGTAGGATAGCTGACTTTAATTTCTCGGAGATTCGCCCGCATCATTCTGCCACCTTCTACCGCCTACGATTTTGCGGGCGAAGCTTCGGTGCGGTCACAGCTGCAACTGCAACTGCAACTTGATTTAAACCACCAATTGAACATACCAACCTATCTCCATCTCTTTTTATCTCTCCCATTTACGCTCCGTTTCCCGCATATTATTTCAAAATGGATCCCCAGACTCAGATGGATATCTCCAACCTCAGCGAGGCCGACAAGAAGGATCTGAGCCAGATCCTGCAGAACGAGTCGCAGAAGACTACCATCCAGCAGTGTGAGTTGGCATAGGCATTCCTCTAGCTTGTCGCAAGATCGAGTCGTGTTGCCTCGAGAGAGAGAAAAGAGAGAAGAGTTCCGTCGCTAATTATTTACGTCTCTGTTTAGCCGTCCACCAACTCAGCGACATCTGCTTTAAGAAGTGCATTGCCGGCCGCCCTATTACCGACGGCGCTCTGTCTCGGAGCGAGGAGTCCTGCGCTGAGAACTGTGTTCAGCGATGGATGGATACTCAGACTTCTATCATTACCAAGTTGCAGAGCATGCGATAGATTGTCGATTTCCCTTTGCTGGATGTGATGTGATGTGATGTGATGTGGTTTAATTATGGATTGGATGATGCGGAATTGGATATGATGGGGCTTGATTTGAGCTTTCCGTCTGGTTCTTGTCTTCGGTCCCGACTTTGGAAAGAGGTTACTTGGTCAACACTATCACTGGGACCTTGAGGGTATAAATCTCGAGTTCCTTGGTGTTGGTGTTGGTGACTCTGACTCCTGGTCTGGACCGTCGCGTTTTGGAGTCTGGGGATGAGATGAGACTCTTCGACTTTATGTCGCTTGTATACTAGAGATAAATGAATGATCTCCCTTGTATAAATGCTTTGCTTTTAACTTTACTATTGTCTTCGACTCTTCTGTACATATGCGTAGAAATATGTAGATTCGGAGAAACCGGGGATCTTTGGGTGCTAATAAACGTATAGTGATACTCGGAATGGCTGGATCCTCTCGTGGACATTGATTATTGTGGCTAAGGCACTGAGATATTGATATGCGGTATGACACAGACAACCTATGCCTATGTCTCTGAGATGGCAGATATAACCACTGGCAGATCTGCCAGAGACACCAAGGGTAAGTAATAATACGGGAACAGTATAACAACTTGAAGCTACGGCCACATCTACAATCACATTTACGACGGATTTGATTCATTTGAATCGTGTCAAGAAATGTATCTTTTTTAGTCATTCAGCCCTTGATGCCGCTGAAACAGCCAAGGAAACTGGCTGGTATTGAGAATCACCCGCGGTGGAAAACAACTTTCGCCCAAACCCTAAGAAATCCATCTCCTTTCCTTTTTTAGACGATGGCCAGCTTGGTGGCGGCGATGTCGAGAGCATCGACATCGGGGGTCAAGCGGGCGAAAGCCTTCTTGGAGCCGTCGGGGCTGGAGAGAGATGAGATGTTAGCAATACGTTCTCTTATGTTATGGTTGTGGCGGGCGGAATTTCCGACCCCGTGTGTGAGTGGGGGGGCACATACCGGACCAGGGTGTTGACCTTGACGGTGTCAACGTCGTACAGCTTCTTAATAGCAGCCTTGATCTGGCGCTTGTTGGACTTGACATCGACGATGAAGACCAGGGTGTTGTTCTCCTCGATCTTCTTCATGGCGCTCTCAGTGTTGAGAGGGTACAGAATGATCTTCTGAGCGTCGAGCTGGGGCTGACGGGGGATGGAGACGCGGGGGTACTTGGGAGACCGCGAGAGCTGCAGGGTCTTGGGGCGGTGGAAGGTGGTCGAGGTGCGAACCTTGCGGGACTTGTGAAGCTGTTGGTTGGTGGTTAGTATTTTTTTTTCTTCTTGCTGGAGAAAGATCCCGGATTCGCCGATTTTGCGGGCAAGTCGGTAAATCGGGCCTTTTGGGGGAGATGGAACGTACGGAAGATCCCTTAACGACCGCCTTGGCGGCAGCGTTGGCTATAAGAATGCATGTTAGTATTCGTGTGGTCTGGATATGTGATGTGATTGATTTCTCCAAGGAAGAAATTGCGAATCATGCGATGTCAAAATGTGCCCTAGGATCCGGAAAAAAAAAAAGAAAGTGTCGAGACGTTGTAAATTTCGTTTGTATCGCTGATATTCGTTGAGAGCGAGTCGGTGCCAGTCTGCTGTTGTCGCTTTGATCGTTCTGTGCGGTGTTCGTTCTTCAAAGTGTGGAATTTTGAGATCCAACAATTTCAATTTCGATTTCCTCCTTTCCACCCAGAGCACATTTTCGCACAATTCGCAATTCAAAGGGAACAGTGTATAGAGTATTCGATTGCAAGCCAAACGTACCTGTCTTGCTGGTAGGGGCCATGGCTGTCGTCGTCCGCTTGTCGTGATGATTGTCGCTGTGTCGATTGTCGAACAATTTGGCGTGACTTCGCTAAGCGAAAAACCCTAGCACTGTGTGGGTCAGGTGATCTGTGGCTAAACCCGCCTTAGTCAGCTGTCATGGCTGACTCAGCACTTTATTGCGGCTGTTTTTTTTTGATGCCGCATCTAGCGGCCTGGAAATTGTCAAGATTGGGATTTATTTGTTTCGCCTTTGTTCGGGCTTGATTTATTTGCAGTAATTATTTTGCTGCGGCAACGACTTTCACCAACTCCAAGTCATGCTGATCCGCTT